AAAAAAAGTGCTTCAAAATAGATCATGAAGTGTATGTCTCTGTCAGAAATGAGATGATTAGGCATGGCTCTGCAGAACATGATAGACAAACAAAGAAGCAGTCTCTGGAGCAGAAGGGAGGTCTCAAACGCTATCTTAGAGAAAAACTGATGACAACATACAGAGTCCAGACCTTTGAGGGGTGTAATAAAATAAAATAAAAACCCAATTTGGTTGTTGCATAGTGGCAGACATAACAGAAACATACACAGGCCTTGATGCTTTCTCAAGGCCGTTCGGGATTGAGCACAGAAGGAAAGTAGCCTTAAATAGCCTTAAATACGTCCAAATGTCAAGTGGGATTATTGCAGTAGCAAAACTATAAAACTACTACTAGCCTTATAGTGAATTCCTCCCTCAAAAGAAGATGAATAAAGATCCCCTTGAAGTCACCTACCTGAGCCCACATGTAACAAGCCTTGCTCCTGTTGTGTGCAAATTTGCTAAGTACAGTGAAATGTAAAATTTCTCACTTGTGGAGTCTCACAGATTGAAACTGTGAAGTTGGGTGCTTTTGGGCAAAGTTTCAGATTGTATATGGGCAGCAATTGTCAGGCTTGTGTGGAAAAGCACCTGTTTGCTTATTCTATAAGCTAGAAATATAGGTTAATATTAAAACGGGAGAAAATTCAGTCTAATTGGTACTGAATGAGTTTCTGAGACATTTGTAGATTTCATGATTTCTTGGGACCCATTCAAGGTATGAAGTTCCTTGAAAGAGATGGCACCAGTGATGAAAAGCATCTTGATTAAATTTGCTTTTGGTTTAAAAAAACATTGCATTTTGGTTCTGCTGGCAATAGCTGTCCAGAATAAAAGGTCTAAGCAGAGGTGGTATTCAACAGGTTCTGACTAATTCTGGAGAACCAGTAGTGGAAATTTTGAGTAGTTCAGAGAACTGGCAAATACCACCTCTGACTGGAGATTTCACAGTATTCTTCTCCTGCTATGCCCACCAAGCCATGCCCACAGAACCAGAAGTAAAAAAAATTGAATCCCACCACTGGGTGTAGGGCAGAGATAATGTTACAAAACCCTCACTAAGCAGAAACATTGTCCCTGAGAAATTTTAGAAGCAACAGTCTGAATAACAATGGGATCTCTTGATCCCATTGAGTGAGATCTGGATAGCTGAGGAAGGTCTAGGAAGCAAACAGGTGAGAGAGAACAAATCTTGTTAAGCATTTGAACAGTCCTCCTTTCTGGTAATTTGGCGTTACAGTTTTCATCCAAACTTCAAAATCAACGATAAAGTGGGAATAAAAGTTAGAAAATCCCACCCTCCAATGCTGCATCTCCTCAAAATTTAGAAAGGAGGGAATGTATTAAGAAACTAGAGTTCAGCTTGAGGAGAAGGCCCACCTATATGGAAGTGCTACAGTTCCTCAGAAAATGCAATGCAGGCAGTTCAAGGAACATTTTTTTTTTATTTCAGCATATTGATTGCTTTAGTGAAGCCAGTCAAGTATAATTCTTCAGAATAAATTACCAGGCCATCCAAATAAATTCTATCAGATAAGTGTCTAACCTGACATGAAAAATATTATTACTAAACTTCATTAAGGCTGAAGGAGCAATGATTAAATGACAGAATATAATCCTGTGTTCAAATATTCTGTAATACATGTTTAAAGGCAATGAAATATTTGTTCAAATTAGTTTTTAGGATCCACTAAAATTCAATTTAGTCAAAAAATGAAGCCATTTAAAAAGTTTAGAAATGGAAGGAAGGGGGAAGTGATCTCTAATAGTAATAGTATTCAGAATGAAAAAATCGTTAACCACGCTTTAAAAATAATCTTTCTTTTGACAAAAAATGTGGGAGTACTGGCATTTACCAAGACTCTGACTTCCTAGAACCAAGTTATAGTCTATTGACATGATCTTTGGGATGGGATGGTTCATAAGTTTTCTTTCTCCTCAAACTGTACTTGGCTGCTTAGGCAAAGGAAAGTGATAGCAAGGGAAGGGAGTGCTCAGATTCTGCAAATAATTTTAAGTTTCTGAAAAATCACATCTAATGTCTTCTGGGTCTCAGTGGAAAAGTAGATTAGCAATCTGAAGAAAGCCAAACAAAGAAGTAAAGATTTTTAATGACCAGAAATCAGCCCTGCCTTCTTTGCAAACATAGAAATCACTGATGGCAGACTCTTACAATTATTGTAAAAAATCTGCTATTAATGGTTTCTACTGTTACTGCCAGGTCTACTGGGTGAATGAACAGTGGCAAAGTCTATATTTTTTTTTATCAAGGATTGGAGGTTTATTACAAAACCCAATGTGAAGAGTATTAAAATCAAATATTGATACCCAACCTGATCTAATTGTTGGATGCATAATCAAACTCCTGAGAAAGCAGAGGTGGCTGTCTTACATACTACTTAAGAAGCCAGGACTGAGATGATTAGGACATTTGCTTGCAAAATGCCCCTTTGTTCCGTATGTAGCATTTAGTAAATACCTCAGAGCATAAAGATTTCTCTGTAAATTGCCTCCATCATTCTTCTTATACAGCAAGGGGTGTCAAACTGGAGGACCTCAGGCCAGATGCTCCATGAAGGGAAAAAAATGTTGTGAAATGTCATGTGGGTGATGGCCACGTGACACCGCAAGTTTGACACCTGTGCTCTAGTTCATTCACTTTGTTACACATTCTTACCCAGAACTCATTCCTGGTTCTTTCAGTTTCACAATGCAATTTCTGTCAACTATACATTCTATTTCATACATACAATCTAGAGGACGCCAATGAATATTTTCTGACCACAGTATATTTCAGCCCTTTTGTTTGAATTAAGTCTACAACTTCATTATGCTCATCAGCTCCATTTCATAAGATTAGGCTTCATCTTTATTTAGACCTGTATATCCCTCACTTTTTCTCACAAACATTTTTTCTTTTCTTTCTTTCCCTATAATATAAACAGATCTGATTAACAAATTTCGTCCTCTTATAGTTCAAGTCATGTTTCTTTGTATGCCTCAGCTGTAAATATATTATTTCTGCACAAAATAATAATAAAATAATGTATAAACAGATAACATCATTTTCTGATATAATATAACCTAAACCTTTTTATTTGAGACCACGTTAGCCAAAGATATCGGGAGCTGGCCCAAAACATCTGGACAATACAAAGCTCAGGAAAGGCTGACACAAGCACATTGTTTGAGTTGTCCGGCCCTATAAATCCATTACATACATAAATAAATTTTTGGGTAGTGCATCAACTATTCTCTGTCTCATCTATTACCTTCCCAGCAAATGTCAACAAGGATCATAAAATACGGAGATTATGACAAAGACTATAAAACTTCACAACATGCTGAAAAGTGCCTTACGAGGTAGACACCATATTTTAAATAGACTTGTCTAATATATTCTCTGTGTAAATAAAAAGCTTTCCAGACCTTGGTGGTTAACAATCTTTTTTGTCAAATAGTCTTTTAGCAGAAGGGTGATGTTTACCTTTGGGTATTACTGTAAAATCATGCCCATTTCATTTTATGATTAAAATATATATTTCTGGAAAATCTTATATTGTTTTTCTACCACTCAAACAGGATGCAGTCAATTGAATACAGAATGGATGGAAGAAAAAGCTGTGATCATTTCATTGTTGTTTTTTGTAAATGCTCAGCCTGCCAGCTGGAGCCTGCACTAGAGCATTGGAAGATAAACAGGGTGATAAAATTAATTCTGGAAGAAGTATTTCAATGGATCCTATAAATTTAAACGGCAAGGGATGAACCAGATCCATGTTTGACATAGGCCTCCTTTGCCCTCTTTTGTTCTGGTTCACCTATAGGCAGACACCGGGAAAATGAAAGACATTCAAGAGGCTTCTATGAGCAAGCTCGGAAGGGCAATCTTGTTGGCAAGTGAAATTTTAAGGAGCTTCACTCAAATCAATTTCTTGGATGGATGGAACTCAGAACAAGCTTTTTCCATTTTCATTTTCAGAAAATTTTATAGGACGTAGCTAATGATTCAAGCTACAGATCCCAAAACACATTCTCAAATCTCAAACCAACTTAACAATCTATTTAAAATTGGATGACATGGACAAGAATTATTGGGGAGATGCAAAAGAATAAAGAAGTAGCATTGGAGGAATAAAGTTGCACCTCTTACTCCACTATTCAAATGTTCCATCTGACATTCTGTTTTTGAAGCTTCAGGCAAGCCTTCCTCAACTCTGGCAATCACCCGATTCCGGGAGTAACTCCCAAAATTCCTTAGCCATCATTGATAATGTGGTATATTCTGTGAACTGAAGTCTAAAGGGCACTAAGCTGAGAAATTCTCTATGTCACAACATTTTTCAGGAAAAAAAGACTACAGCTTAGAAATTTGTCTATAGAGATAGGACTATTAGTCCTCATATGTTGGGTTCTTCACTCAGCAACGTATTTATGTGCAATCTTTGGAAAGTTCCCAAACTCATCCCAACATCTGGAAATATGTTCATTTCGGCAAATTGGTGTGTTTCCATTTGTGAATTGCAATCTAAACAAATTTCTCAATCATCCATCTCTAATTGCCGCTGCTACCTTTTGCAACATCTGGCTATGATGAAAGACACAATAGACACTGGCATAGCAATAAGCCATAAATCTCTTCTATGGTGGCACAATTCTTGCCTTTCAATAATCCCATGGGGAAGAATCCACTCAGCAGAAAGGAAGCTAGGGTTTCAGATCCAATACAAGGGATCTGAAAAATGTCCCAAAAGTGCCCGCTTCTTTTGCTTTTCTAAAAGCAGATGTGAATACATCCCACTCACACAATTTCCCTCATTCACCACAATGGGGAGAAAAATCCTCCTGCAAATCGTCCGTTCTGTGAGATATAGTGCTACTCAAATTGGTGTCACAGGCAGCACACAATAATTTGGGAATACTTGAGAAATACTGAGCCCAGAAAAAGGAAAATGAAATAGACATTATTCTTTGCCTACCCTTTCACCAGACGGACCAGGTGGGCCATCACCCCCAGCAGTGCCCTGGGGAAAAAAACACAATTTATTTAAAAATGAGTTGGGCGTTTGCCCCAAGACAAAAAGCTAAACTCAGAATTCGTTACTGAATTCTGTCAAAATTACCTTTGGTCCGGGTTTTCCAGTTGGACCTCTTGCACCTCTCGATCCACGTGGTCCCTGGTAAATGGGAGAAAATATGTAATTAGTATTTTTATTGAGCATTGTTGCATGGGAGAATATAAAGGGCTATATAATATAAAATACACCATAGGGTTGCATGTTGAGTCCCTTACTTTATACTCTTTATGTGCATGACTGCATTCCCACTCACACTAGTAATACTATTACTAAATTTGCAGATGATACAACAGTGGTGGGACTCATCTCCGGGGGATGGGGGGAGAATGACTCTGCCTACCAAGATGAGGTGGACCAGTTGCTTTTGTGGTGTGGAGACAATAACTTGGTCCTGAACCCCAATAAAACCAAGGAGCTTATAGTGGACTATGGAAGGAACAGATCACACATCCAGCCCTTGTTTATCAATGGAGACAGAGTGGAGCAAGTGGTTAGTTTTAAGTTTCTGAGTGTTACCATAAAAGAGGACCTGACCTGGGGTGCTCACATTGCAGCACTGGTCAAAAGGGCCCAGCAGAGATTATACTACCTGAGGCTTCTCAGAAAACAACAACTGAATGAAAAACTGCTGGTGACCTTCTACCATTGCACCATAGAGGGTATCTTAACTTACTGCATCTCTGTATGGTTTGCCAATTGCACAGTGGCAGATAGGACAGCACTCGAGAGGGTTAACATCATTGGTTGCCCTCTCCCCTCTTTGGAAGAGCTTGATAGCTCCCGCTGCCTTAAGAAAGTTCAAAACATTCTCAAAGATCCATCTCATCCTGGGAACCCTTTTTTTGAACTATTACCATCTGGCAAATGGTACAGGATAATAAAAAAGGGCAAATAGGCTGAAAAACAGCTTCTATCCAGGGAAATAACTCTATTGAATTCTGCTGTATAGTACACTGAAGATGGTATTTAATTTCGTTGTTCAGTGTGCAATGACAATAAAGTAAACTAAATAAACACCACAGTTTCTGACCACAGTGTGGATAGCAAGAAAAAAATGCATGCAATAATATCAAGGACTAATAATGCTATTAAACAGAGAGCCAAAAAAAATATATCAACTTACTGTGGGTCCTCTTTGTCCTCTTGGACCTGGTTTGCCATGTAATCCCTGTCAACCAAAATTCATGCAAATTAATCGGGGCTTTGGGGCAGATTATTTATTTACTTTATTTACTACGCTGCTACAACCAAAAAGTTACTCACCAGCCCATTTTAGAAAGTACAAGTTAAAACAACCAAGGTAAACAAATAAAATAAAAACACAATAGCATAACCACAATACGGACCCTTAAAAATAAAGGAAAGATGGCAAGATAGTTCACGAGAAAACTCTCTAAAATAGCTCAATCTTCCTGGAAAGAGGTTTTGCCACTTTGAAAAAGAAAAACAGAACTGTAATAATTCAGAAACTGGCTAGCAAAACTATCTCCTTTGCCTTTATATTTTAATAAACAACATGTATTTTCATACTCTGATGGTAGTTTGTCCTTATTTCTTTTGTTATCAGATAAAAAGTTTTGTTGAAGCTGTTCTTAATATTCTCTTTAGCTTCCTTTTTTCCTGTCCTATTAACTATTATTCTTGGCTGCTCAATTTGTTTATTTGAAAGATCTTCCTTTAGGAGGAATCATTTAAATCTCACACCTCCACCTGAAATTCAAACCACATGAATTTTCACTCTTTCTTTCTCCAATGGGTACTGAATATATTACTGAAATGGCCAAATATGCCATTACGATAAAGAAAGAAATTCAGACCTTACTGCCTATGCGCTCTCATGGGTAAGAGCCTTTAAAATGCTTCTCCATAAACTGCTCTGGCCTCGCTTCCCTTGATATTCATTTCAATGAAGCCAGCAAAGAACTTCATCAAAGGCAGTGCGTGATCTTCCTTCTCTCAGTATTGATTGGGAGTGCCTTAAATGAGTTGTGCAGGGTTGCCAATCCTTCTTTCATTTCAGCAAAACAGACAGCTACTTCAAAGCCCCTTCCTTTGCTACAATCCATTAAGGCTTCTCTTCTGAGAGGCCTCTTTTAATCAAGACCATGACTGAAAGTCCACAGAGTAAGCAAGCTGAACTGTGTTAGATCCATCTTCCAGGAGCAGAAGAAAATATGTGCATGTCTACAGGTAGTCCTCGACTTACGACCACAACTGAGCCCAAATTTTCTTTCGCTAAATGAGACCTTTGCTAAGTCAATTTTGTCCCAATTGTTAAATGATTCTGGCTTCCCCAAATGGACTTTGTTTGTCAGAAGGCCCCCAAAGGTGACTCTGGGACACTGCAACAGTCATATAAATATGAGCCATTTGCCAACCATCTGAATTTTTATTACGTTGATCACTGAGATGCTACAATGGTCATAAAGCATTTTTTCAGTGGTGGTGTAACAGTCACCAAATGAACTGTTGTTAAGTTGAACGCCTACCTGTATAGGTGTGTGTGAAGAAAGGGCACCAGCAGAATTTAAGGAAGCAGAAATACTGACAATTGCAAATGAAAAGTGCCCCAACTCTTAACCTGAAAAATCCCACCGCCATAGATAGAGCTCAGCTGGTAGGATGTATTTTTTGTATAACTGATAACGTATCACAATAAGGACAAAGATGGATATCGGGGTTGTGAATGCTATTAATACATTTGTTCCATGCTATGCAAATAGCAGCGGTGGGGAAACTTCCCAGAGCAACTTCTGGATTTGGAGGGGGGGGCACTCCCCCCCTCGTAGTGCCAGCATAAATTGCTCATCTGAATCCAGCATTTGCATTTCAAAAGAAGTCTCTCCCCCTCCTCCCGCTCCTTTGAAGTGCAGGGCCTTTAAAATGCATGAAGCAGCTTCAGAAATACAGTCCGTTGTGGCAAGGAAAAACAAGTTCAGCCTCAGCTGACCTCTCCCCATTTGCCTAGCCCCATATTTTGCTTAGCTGCTCTGTGGCTTCCATTTGCATAATAAGAAATTAGCACATTAACTGTATTCATAGAACTGACGTCTATTTCAATCTTGACTGTGATTATTTTGTCAGAACCAAGGCACCAATCTGGCTCTTAGCAGGATGTAAACCTCTATTCAGCGAAGCATACAATGCTACCATTGTAATTAATAAAAGTTTCTAATTTTAACTTTAAAAAGTACCTTGGTGATTATGCTGAGTCTGTAAATCCTTGCAGGAGAGACAGACTAATAAAAGTAGCCCAGCAGGCAAGATATTTGAGCCAAAGATTCAATCTGTAGTTTCTTTCTTTCCTGAGTTTCCACTCAGTGAAAAAAATTGTTATCCATTTAGATATATAGCCAAATGAAGGCCATTGTCCTTGATTTTCAAATAACTGATCTAACCACAACTCAAAACACTCTGCTTTTACTTGATTGATTCAAATGTGCACTTCCTCTCCTTATGAGGATCTATTTCTTAAAATCATGTGGATTTAAGCTCTGCATGTCTGTAGTGTAGAGGGAGATGTTTGCCATGAGTTACATGACATCACAATGCATGTAATGTCGGTGTGATTTCTATAAGATGCTTATGGGGAGGAGATCTGGTCTGGTCTATGTGTCTATCTATCTATCTATCTATCTATCTATCTATCTATCTATCTATCTATCTATCATCTATCTAGTCATCCATGCATATACCTACCTACTACCTACCTATCTACTCTATTTATCTATCTACTCTATCTATCTTTATGTACTGTATATGCATACATGAATATATGTATGTACTGTATGTAGCTATCTCTCTGTGTAAAATGAAATATAGCAACCAATATACAGAATAAGAATGACATTTGAAGAAAGTAAAAATATATCCAAAAAAAAAAAGTTAATATAGTGCTAGCTCAGTCTTTTAACATTATTATATCTAGCAATATAAGCCATCTATTGCTCCATCTTCTCAGCCTTACTAGTGGAACAATATGTATATAATATATTTAGTTTCTTGATATTCTATTATGTAGGTACCTTAGAGGATTAAATATAGATAGGAAGCAGGGAGTGGCTATTCTATCCAAGTTAATTACAGTTTGAATATTAGTGTTAAAAAGTAATTATTTTACTTTTTCTTCAAAATTAAATATAAAATTGGAAACAAAACGAAAAATAATGAAGAAAGAGTATACATCAAAATCCTAGTTTCATAATGAAGGTTTCAGTCTTAAGCTACATATATATAATAACATGTTGGAGATTTTAGAATCAAGTGTGTGTGTTTGTGTGTGTGTGTGTGTTTGTGTGTACACACACAAGAGGAATATGGATATATGTGTTCCATCAGAAAATTAATGGTTGGGTTTCCTGTCAGTTTGAAAATGAATAAGGAAAAAGAAGACAAAACCCCTACTACCATTAAGGGGGAAGGGAGAGAAAGTCCTCAAAACTTCATCAACTTGTGTGACGTAGCCTCGTCTACTTTAAATTTCTCAATCTCTCCTCAGAAAGTTACATGTAACCCTTGACAACAAAACAGTTGCCCAGTTCTACCTTAAATTATAACTGAGAAATTTAATCTAGTGATAAATCGTAAAAAGGAGAGACTGGAGTTTCTTCCTACTCCCTTCTCTTCCTTCCCTATACTCCGTCTGCCTTTATTACTAGATTTGTTACAAGAATAGGCATGTGCTAGATGCTTTTAAATTTGAACACTTTTATTACCCTTTGCATATACATGATATAACATTTATACGTCTTTGAAGGATTAAGAGAATTCCATGTGGAGAAGGGAACCCCATTCTCCTAAAGATTAATTGTGCAAGCAATTAGGAATTCATGAGTCCCCTTTAGTTATAAATATCATTTTGCCAATTTATGTGGCAAGCAGTCCTCATATGGAACTCTGTATCTAGACATTTAAAGTGATGAATTTCATTCCCATTAAATAAAATAAAATGATAGGCAGATTAATGCCATGCATTACTTCAGTCTCACTTAATGGCACACTAAGCTACCATGAAGTATAACTGTCAGCCCGTCTTTCCCCTTTGATGACTTTCGTGCAGCTCTATCACAAGCAATCAGCTACATCCAGCTGAGCTTTATGGCTACCGATGCTGTGAATTTTCGGCAATTCGCTTAGTTGGCATTATGAATGTATTCACCATCTTCAACTAAAGAGCAAAGTCTTGATATCTTATCTGTTTAAAAATGTTTTCTTTAGAGGCTTATTCTATTTTTGAGCTGCAGACAAGTTGGCTTTTCAATGATAACATGGGGAGGGGGGAGGGGTTATTTCCCCAAAGCACATTATGAACATTAGTCTTCAGAAGAGCAATTTCTTACAGTCTCAGCATGGGAATTGAATTTTCAAACTCCATAATTATGAGCTGTGGTGGCGCAGTGGTTAGAGTGCAGTAGTGTAGGCTCACTGTTCACTCCAGGAGTTCGATTCTGAATGGCTCAAGGTGGACCCATCCTTCCATCCTTCTTTCAGTAAAATGAGGACCCAGGTTGTCAGGGGCAAGATGCCGACTCTGTAAACCGCTTAGAGAAGGCTGTGAAGCACTGTGAAGCGGTATATAGGTCTAAGTGCTACTGCTTATTGCTATCTACAAATGTTCTTTGCATTTTATATATTTAATGATATACTCAGTTTGGCCATCCACTTATACTTTCATCTGCTTCAACTCCAGGGTCCTTCTATCAAACAATAACACCTTATTTGAACTCAGTGTCATGCCGTCTCACTGGCAGCACCTGAAACACTATGTCCCAACCCTCTAAATTGGCTTTTTGATCTGGCTATATTTCTCTAGGCATTTGGGTCACATGGTTAGGTGACTTCTAATAGATTTGTTGCTTATTCTTGCAAGCTGGGGTACCTCATGAGTCTTTCTGTGTTTTAATTCGCCCAAAGACATTTGTATGCAATGGCCAGGTATATCAAACATACCAATCAATTAATCAATCAATCTTTTCACTAGATAGGTAGAGAAGGAACAAAAATAATCCTGATTGTCTACGCTTGTGTACTCTGTCCAACCAGTGTTGTGACATCTCATTAAGCAGTATCTTTTAATGGGGAGCTGCATTTGTGTATAGTAGGATTTCACGTTGCTTAAATTGCAGCCATAATGGATATGTACCACATTGATTTTTATTTTAAAAGCCTTGATAATCCTGAACTGCTATCATTTCATTTTTTTTCCTTTACTTTGAGCAACATCCAACATAGAAAATGTTATAATATTGTACATTCCAATCTGTTCAATGTTCCCAAATTCATATTCCATATATTCATAACTTTATAGGTAAAATGCTGTGACTTACCCTTCCTCCTTTCTCACCATTAGAACCTGGAAATCCAGGAAACCCAGTAGATCCCTGCACAAAAAAATACAAATGTACTTTTAATCGATATAAATATCTAGCAAACCTTTCACATTGTATACTTTCGATAGATTATAATATTGTATCCTGAAGGTGATAACATTTTTGATGAAACATTCTACTGTCCATTCAATTACAAAAAAAAAAAAATTAAACTAAACCCACTGTTTTTAATAGCAAATGCATTCCACAGAGCTCAGACTGTTTTTCCCTGTTTCATACTTGGGAGGCCACTGAAAGGATAGCATGGTAGAATATAGAATGCTGTCCTATATCAAGTCAAGCTATTCGTCAATTTATTCAATATCTCCATTACTGTTCTCCAGATTTTGAGACAGAAATGTCTTATCCTCCTACTTGATCATTTCAAAGATTTAATCTGGAACTTCCAGATGTAAACCACTTTTTATTATGAACTATATTTAAGTAACACAACATATAGTATATTATTTAAGTCATACAATCCAAACATAAAAATAGATATTAACAGTTTTCAGTTACTTACCATAATTGTTCAAGTCCAGAATGCAGTAAAGAATTAACAGTAAACTTATATATTTATTTTGAAAACAATGACATATCAAGCCACCATTCATGGAAAGAAGACACAGGAGTAGGGGTAGGAGTAGATGTGTGACATTACAATAATTTGAATATAAAGCACAGCATACTTAACATATAAATAAGTTAAGTATACATAAATACACACACAGAAAACAGAGAACAAATGTCCCCATAATATTATATCATGGATTTTAATTTCATAATTGATTTAGCTTTACTGGAATTGTTAGAAAACTAATGTCTACAGAAAGGGGCAAGTGATGGAATATGTGTATGACACTGTGACACAAGTAAAAAAAAGTGGTGTATTTGCATATATCATGGTGGTTAGGGATGGACACCTACTGGAGCAAATATATTATCCATCTATATTATCATATTTTATAGTTTATTGTGAGTGCTTTTTTAAGAAATAAAAAAAAAGATTTTAAATGTTCTATAATATAATTTGAATGTGAATAATATCTTAATTTCAATATATTGTATTACTTTAGGTACAGATATTGAAGGGAAGTGTACATACTATGTTTGTATATATACACACATATACATACATCAATATGTGTGTATGTATACACACACATATACAAACATATATGCGTGTGTATATATGTGTGTGTGTGTGTGTATATCTATCTATACACACACATACATAAACATATATACATACATATACATATATATATGAACACAGACACACTTATAGTACATATACATTTAAATTCACTTATACCTACATAATACTACATAAATACCACAAACTTAAAAATGGTACCTAATATATAATGTACTGCTTTGCTACTTTTGACTTCATTTTTATGACTATTTTGTTTATGGTTTTCAGTCAGTTTGAGTCAGATTTGACTCCTTACAACTAGTAAAAAATACCACACAAGCTTCCTATTGTTGCATAATTATTTGAAGTCAGACTCAGTCATAATGGTGAAATTAATATGGTATCATTTAGACCAGAACATCAATAAAAATGTCTCAATAGTGATAGCTTTACAAGGAAAAATGTCTTTAAGGTGTCATTGCCATAATTGTAAGCACAGCTGACCACTCCACTGATATTTTTATCACATGACATTTGTATCAATAATAGTAATGGATTATAAGCAGTTTGCTTCCATAATGGGTAGACAGATGTTATTTAATGAAAGAAACTTAACTGGGTTTGAATGTGGAATTAATCGGGAAAATTAATAAAGAATATTTTTGCTCAGAAATTCATGCAAAATGTTCTACTCATATGAAATGTGATATTTTCCTACCATTAAAAACTTTGTATTATTTGATTTCTACATTTGAATATAGAAAAAAAATATTCCAAGGAAATCAGAATAGATTCAGACTGATAAAATAACACTAAGTCATACTGAACAGGAACTGAATTTGTATACCATTTCCAAATCCTCATAGAAGACAAGGCAGAAGAAAGATTGGTAGAAAAGCAGAACTTTGAGAAAATTTTAACTCAACAATTTCCAGCCTGGAAAATAGTAGTGGGGGGTTATGCAATCTTATTCTGGATTCCTTAATATGTTACTGAGATAAACTACTGGAAGACTTTTTTATTGCATCAATAATTTTTTTTATTATTGTTACTCAAGTCAAGTGTGAATCAATTATAAGTAACAAACTCATATACATTCATTCACCTAAACAAATGTGCATGCACTATTAAATCTTAAATTACAAATTACATAAATCTTAAATTACCAATGATGTAGAAAATTTACCTTAGGGCCTTGTCTTCCTGGATACCCTGGCAAACCAGGAACACCAAGTTTACCCTATAATTAAAAAAACAAACATTAATTTTATGTACTTTTTCCAAATATCTTCATATTGTAACCAGCATTTATATATAGTCATTATACTTATTGATTTGTAGCTGTTTGGATATGTCCATCTAGTCATAGATTAATCTATTTCTCTGTCTGTTTGTCCATCTATCCCATAGATACTGAATTTGTGAGGATCAGAGAAGACATTTATGAAAGATGGAATACATGAGACCTGCTCAGAGTAAGCTATAGAGGAAGAAAGGGTGGTTTTGGAGCATTTCAACATAAACAGCATGCAGGAAAACACCAGGATAAAGATATTTAAGAAGATTTATTAAGGAACATTCCTCAAAATAAACAAAGTTTACTATATGAACTAGATCAGCTGACAATACCCAAGAGAAAAATCAACAAAGGTAGTTTACTGGGACTGACCAAGCTTTATCAAACATCACAGAACTGGATGAAAACTGTAAAGTTTGGAGACATCACACAAAATGAGACATTGTGCCAGCTGGGCTTCTCCTTTGATTCTTCTGAAGTTCAAACCATGTATAATTAGATAGATTTCAAGGTGGCTTGTGTGTGTGGGTTGTGTGTGTGCATTATGTGAATGTGTGTGTATGTGTAAGAGAGAGAAACAGACAGACAGACAGAAAGTGAAAGAAAGAGCACAGTACTTAAATCTTTTAAATCTGAAAACACACATTAAAAGTTGTAATCCTGCATTTGCTTCCATTATCCCAGGGCTCCATATAAAATAAGAACAATAAATAGCACTGGAGATATTATAAATATTCTATATTTTGACCTTCCTTAAATGTTTGAATATTTGCCTCTTTTTTAAAAAAAAATATTGCATCAGTTATGACTATACTGTTTGTGAGTGCTGGGAATAGGATGGTAATACATTGGATAAGTAAAATCTGAATTAGAATATGTCTCAGTGTTTGTGGGAGAGTGGGGTGGTATGTTAGTATCTTCAGCCAAAGTAATATGAATGTATTAGAAATCAGAATTTCAAATAGAAACGTCATTGCTCAAAAACAATAGTTCATCAATAAAGCTATTCTCAACAGTGGAAGGAGAGTTAGTGATCCTTGAAGGTAAGGGTGGTAACCTTTCAGGCACCTAGGAAGCACACTTAACAGTCCTGGAGATGACCACAATAGGAGGAGAAATATGCAAAATGAACATGGCCATTTAACCTCACGTGAATTGGGCTATCTTTTCTGGGTTCAGGTAGCAGGAATTTGGTCACAAGCTCTTTTTCAAAATGACATCAAGTTTGGTTTTCTGAGCTTCCTTCTTCAAAAGGAATTTCACTCATGTAAACATTTGCAAAATTGCGCTAACTCTAAGATATTTTTTTCTGCCCACACTCCTTTCGGTCGAATTCTATATCTATCATAATACTTCTCTATCAAAGTAACACAATAGGAATTAATTTAGCTTGTGGGAGAAAGTGATGTTCATATTCCTGTGTTTTATGGAATTGGAATTTAATGAGAACTTAGTGATAACTTTCCAATTATGCTACCATTTATCCATAATTATAATAGTGGCGTTCTTTATTCATGACCTTTTTAACAGCTGGCAAGATGTCTTGAAACATTATAAGGATCATTAATTCCAAATAGCTCCCAACAGTTAAGTGAAGCTGAAAGGAATATTCTGGAATGAATGATCTGACTTTGAAAGTATTTTTATGACAGCTTATAAAGCTCTATAGCATCAAATTATAACCTTCCTTTCTCTTTTTTACATAGAAAGGGAATCACCTGGGGAGAGTCATTCGAAAGATTTTTATAAACAAGCCTGTCTTTGATCAGACCACCGATGCAATCAAGCAGAAATGTAGTTGAATAAAAGGCTATCTACACACCAAGCAGAGAGAAAGGACACCTGGAAGTGATTTGGGAAAAGTGAAAGAATTTGCCTAAATGTACAGACATTAGATACAGAAACACAATCCAGGAATAGTCAATTAAGGGACTATTTCAGAAAGTGAAACAAAATATCGAGGAGACAAATTACTCTTGGTCCATAGCTCTACATTGTGGTTCGTTTCTTTCCTTGATAAGAAACTCTGGTTTGAAATGAGAGATTTGGTTTTCCACTTTCCACTTTCCACTGGCATAACAGTCATCATATAAAAATGTGTTTTTTTCACCCAGGGAAAAAAGGGACTCATGTGATATAGGTTCTCATAACTCCAGTTTTGGTCACCACATTATAAAAAAGATATTGAGATGCTAGAAAAAGTACAGAGAAGAGCAACCAGGATGATTAGGGGACTGGAGACTAAAACATATGAAGAACGGTTACATGAACTGGGAGTGGCTAGTCTAGTGAAGAGAAGGACCAGGGGAGACATGATAGCAGTCTTCCAGTATTTGAGGGGCTGCCACAGAGAGGAAGGAGTCAAGCTATTTTCTAAAGTGCCTACAGGTCAGACAAGGAATAATGGATGGAAACTGAACAAGGAGAGATTTAACCTGGAAATGAGGAGAAACTTTCTGACAGTGAGAACAATCAACCAATGGAACAGCTTGCCCTCGGAAGTTGTGGGAGTTCCATCACTTGAGACTTTCAAGAGAGATTGGACTGCCATTTGTCAGAAATGGTGTAGAGCCTCCTGCTTGGGCGGGGGATTGGACTAGACGATCTACGAGGTCCCTTCCTACTCTGATTATCTGTTATCTGTTATAACGCCAAATATATGCCAGATCTGAGATCCCCACATCATCTACATACATGTTTCAAACATGACATAAATGTTTCCATATGTCTTTTATGCTTCAATTATTTCTGTCACATTCTTGCTAGTATAGTGCTGGATTAATTCTCATAATAGAAATATGAAACTTTACTCACCTTTTCTCCAGCTTGGCCAGGGCCACCGGAGTCTCCTGTGGGACCTGCACGACCTTTGGGACCTTCAGGGCCATCTTCTCCTCGAGGACCAAGAGAACCAACTTCACCCTTAAAAATATTGAGTAAATAAAACAATAAAAGTTAACCACCTGTCTCCACAATAAAAAAAAAACCACAATCCTGAACACTAATTTTTTAAAGCCCACCTACTGGATTCTCTCAAATTAAGTTCCTCCTAAAGCTTTCTAAAGACAATAGCTCGGGAGCCACCCCAGAAAGCAAAACAGTTGGCATACCTTTCTTTCTTTTCTATAACTTGATTAATCAGCATCCTCATTAGTTGTTCTAGCTAAAATCAGAAAGGTTGATGCTATTAATTAGAGCCAACTGTGATACAGGAAGAAATCCTCATTCAGTTTTTTCTTTTTTATTGCAGATGCCTCAAGATTTATTGTCTGAGCTATGGTGGCACATTGGTTAGAATGCAGTATTGCAGACTAATTCTGCTTGGTTGCCAGGAGTTCAGTTCTGATCATCTCAAGGTTGAGTTAGCCTTCCATCCTTCCAAGGTCAGTAAAATGAAGCTCCAGATTGTTGAGGGCAATATGCTGACTCTGTAAACCACTTAGAGATGGCTGAAAAGCGCTATGAAGCAGCATGTAAGTTTAAGTGCTATTGCTATTAATCTTGACAGTGGTTTCAATCTATTTTGAATAAATTTAATACATATTATTCAAACTTGATCCATTTTAAAAATCACCTTGATGATCCATTTTATACCAATAAATACATAAATACAGATAGCATAGAAAATGTTCTTGCTCAATAGTATCAACTGCATGCAACTTGGTAAAATATCAGCTTCTGTACTACATTGAGACACAGCTTCTGTACTACATTAACAATATTGAATAAAATAAAATAAATTGCTTTATTTTATTATAAAGTTTTTGGAGGTTTTGAGATTTTCATAAGATGACACTACCATTGTAAGAAGAAGCAACAAGTAATCTGAGATCTGTCAGAAGAGTACAAAATCTGACACATTCATACCAATAACGAGAATCATAAATCATAAATGTCTGGAGAATATTAAAAGCAATGCTTATGCAGGAGTAGCATACAGGAATGTGTGTACAATGATTCCATTACTGTGAGTTGTCAATTTATAATTTAAATTACTTTAAGGTTACCTTCCAGCCAAGGTGAGACAATGTGGAACAATTAAACAGTAAATACCGGTATTAATCAAAATTCAATGATTAATAAAGCATAAATAAAGCTTTAATGAAAAGTTAACCCATCCTCAGATTATAAAAATCAGAAGCCATGCAGCCCCATAAAATACACCTCTTAAGAAAAGTTCTCAAAAAGCAAGTGTTATCTTTTGATATTTCCTAAAGTTCTGCAGTAACACAGTAGAGATTACTAAAAGCTCTCATCAATCTATGGGATAGGGATGGGGAGGAGAGGAATGGAGGATAGAGAGGTTCTAGTACAAAGCTTAAGCCATTGTCTTGCTAGCAAACACCACATGCCTTCAGGTTCCTTCTCCTAAACTCTATCACCTACAAGTTCTTGATGGTGAAGGTCTTCTTTGGGCGTTGAACTAGCCCAACAATCTAGGTAGTTCTTGATTTACAATTGTTTGTTTAATGACATTTTGAAGTTACAATGGCCGTGGAAAAATTGACTTATAACCTATCCTCAAAGTTTTGACTGTCATGTGATCACAATTTGGGCACTTGACAGCTGGCATGCATTTACAATGGTGTCACTTCTTGTGTCATGGGACTGTGAGCTTCCCTGATGGCTTCTAACAAGGAAAGTCAATTGGGGAAACCGGAATTGCTTAACAACCACATGATTCACTAACAATCAAGTGATTTGCTTAACATCTGAGGTAAAAATGATCATGAAACCAGATCTGGTCTCAAGATGACTTGCTTAACAACTATATTGCTTAGTGACCAAAATTCCTGTCCCAATTATGGTCATAAATTAAGGAATACCTGTCCTGGGATTTATGACCATAATTGGGACAGGAATTTTGGTTACTAAGCAATGTAGTTGGTTTTGATTCAACCTGGTTTTGATTACATCCAATTACATTTGATTACCTAGGCCCTTGAGGGAAGGCGAATTAAAAGATTCTTCCTGTATAAGTATATGACTGAATAGATTTGTATGGTTCCTTAGCATTGGTATATTCTGCTATATTGTATTAAATTCATGGATGTTAAAAATTGTTAGTTATCGTGTTGCTTTACTCCTATTTACACATGGCATAATAATCAATTCCTTAGTCAGTCGATGACTAGAGCAACATAGAAACTAATTATTTAAAATCTAATAGAGTCCTTTCCTTTTGGGGAATGAGAAAAGGCTTCTGAAGAATCAATCATATATTCATAACACAGTAGTTTTCATTCATGAAGATCTCTATGTGTTCAATTGAGACTAAAAAATATCCTGAATGGATGAAGTGATAATGAAAGTTCCCTTTTTCAATTTAAGTCCAATTCCTCAATAGATCTAAAGAGGTAAGTAATACTTACTCTATCACCCTTAAGGCCCATATCACCTTTAAATCCAGGGAAGCCATCTTCACCCTATATTTTTGTAGTGAGAAAAGGAAATATAATATAATTCGTTAAGAAATCAGAATGGAAGTTGTTAAAGAATTTGGATAAATTAATATAATGCATATGACAACCATAGCTATTTTCAAATCAAGCGTTTTTTTATAGTCGTAGACTACCATAACATAGCTGTTTTGCTGTAAGTCACAATAATTTACATTACTAAAGCTGGATCATAATAGACCAAATTACTGCAATATGGCAATTTCTGTATCCAAAAAAAATGTCACAGATGAATTGAATTACTTTTCAGCTTTAAAAAAAAAGAAGAATGAATAATGAGAAAGGTGCTTAAGGCAATAGGGGCATTCATTTCTTAATTCGTCAATGAGCCTTTCATTATAATGTTACTTTTCCTTATTAAATTTCCTCCTTATATTTCCGGCTTTAAAAGTGTCGGGATTTTTTCCCATCAGATATTTCACATTCAAAAGTCAATTGTAATATAACCCAAAGATGCTACTACTGATTAAAAGCTGATTAACATAGCCATATTTTACTTGTTGCAATGATGCAGTAACCACAACATATCTGCACCTGGAAAGTTCAAAAAAACAGCATTTCCAAGTCATCCAATCAATGAAATCCTGCATTTGATCTAATTCAGAATGAGTTTGTTCTGTTGACAGTCTTTGTTTCTTTTCTTTTTTTTTAATGTTATCTTTTCTGATGCTGGAGGATGAACCAGGAATCATTGGGACCAAACACTAGAATGCTTTTATTATACACTGCTCAAAAAAATAAAGGGAACACAAAAATAAGACATCCTAGATCTGAACGAATGAAATATTCTTATTAAATACTTTGTTCATTACATAGTTGAATGTGCTGACAACAAAACCATACAAAAATTATCAATGGAAATCATATTTAGCAACCCATGGAGGTCTGGATTTGGAGTTACACACAAAATTAAAGTGGAAAAAAACACTACAGGCTGATCCAACTTTGATGTAATGTCCTTAAAACAAGTCAAAATGAGGCTCACTAGTGTGTGTGGCCTCCACGTGCCTGTAGGACCTCTCTACAACACCTGGACATGCTCCTGATGAGGTGATGTATGGTCTCCTGAGGGATCTACTCCCACACCTGGACTAAAGCATTCCCCAACTCCTGGACAGTCTGTGGTACAATGTGGTGTTGGTGGATGGAGCGAGACATGATGTCCCAGATGTGCTCAATTGGATTCAGGTCTGGGAACGGGAAGGCCAGTCCATAGCATCAAGGCCTTCGTCTTGCAGGAACTGCTCACACACTCCAGCCACACGAGGTCTAGCATTGTCTTGCATTAGGAGGAACCCAGGGCCAACCGCACCAGCATATGGTCTCACAAGGGGTCTGAGGATCTCATCTCGGTACCTAATGGCAATCAGGCTATATTTGACAAGCACATGGAGGGCTGTGCAGCCCCCTAAAGAAATGCCACCCCACACCATTACTGACCCACTGCCAAACCCGTCATGCTGGAGGATGTTGCAGGCAGCAGAACGTTCTCCATGGCATTTCCAGACCCTGTCCGTCACATGTGCTCAGTGTGGACCTACTTTCATCTGTGAAGAACACAGGGCGCCAGTGGCAAATTTGCCAATCTTGGTGTTCTCTGCCAAATGCCAAATGTCCTGCACGGTGTTGGGCTGTAAGCACAACCCCCCACCTGTGGACGTCGGGCCCTCATATCCCCCTCATGGAGTCTGTTTCTGACCGTTTGAGCAGCCACATGCACATTTGTGGCCTGCTGGAGGTCATTTTGCAGGGCTCTGGCAGTGCTCCTCCTGTCCCTCCTTGCACAAAGGTGGAGGTAGCAGTCCTGATGCTGGGTTGTTGCCCTCCTATGCCCTCCTCCACATCTCCTGATGTACTGGCCTGTCTCCTGGTGGAGCCTCCATGCTCTGGACACTACGCTGACAGACACAGCAAACCTTCTTGCCACAGCTCACATTGATGTGCCATCCTGGATGAGCTGCACTACCTGAGCCACTTGTGTGGGTTGTAGATTCCGTCTCCTGCTACCACTAGAGTGAAAGCACCACCAGCATTCAAAAGTGACCAAACCATCAGCCAGAAAACATAGGAACTGAGAAGTGGTCTGTGGTCATCACCTGCAGAACCACTCCTTTATTGGGGATGTCTTGCTAACTGCCTATGCTTTCCACCTGTTGTCTATTCCATTTGCACAACAGCATGTGAAATTGATTGTCAGTGTTGCTACCTAAGTGGACAGTTTGATTTCACAGAAGTGTGATTGACTTGGAGTTACATTGTGTTGTTTAAGTGTTCTCTTTATTTTTTTGAGCAGTGTATATTAATTGTACTATGAGCCTTGGCAAATATTTTCTAGGATTCCTTAGTAGGCTGCTTTCTATGAGTTCACATATGAATACTACCAGACATAATTAGTATCTCCCAAATTAGAACATGAATATATCCTTTTTCTAACTTCTCTAAACTTTGCCAAGCAGTTCTTAGATCAAACACACAGACTAAGAGTTAAATTTAAAGAAGTGGAGGTTAAATTTTATAAATTTTCCTGAGTACAAAAACAACAACAACAACTGCATGTCAAATTTTGTAAAGTTAAAAAAATACTCTAGATATATTTATTACATAGCTATTGCTCTCCAGCAGTATATACCAATTGATCCTTGGGGGGAAATGCAAATTTTGTAGAATATGAAAATTTGTCCATTCCTGTTTCTGACATTTTCGTCATGTTCATAGAGTCCCCTTAATATTTAATGCAATTATAGATGCTATAAATAATATCTCAAAAATCAGGAATCCTGGGAAATGTAGTTCCCAGCAATAATGATGCTAGAATTATTGGCCATTAATTAATTAAAGGAATGGAACTTTCCTTATGCACCACATCAAAGTAGTCAGGAACTTTATCCCTACAAATTATTCTAATTGTCCTATATAAGTAGCTCATAAAAGACCACTGATCTACATGGAAAAGCCTAAATTCCTAACCCTGGAGACTGTTCTTTTGCTATTATTTGATTTTCCAACAGCCGTACTGAGAAATAGTACCACACACCTAAAGAATTGAAAACACCTAGCAAATTGGATTAATAATTATATACAACATATATATAATTATTAAAACATATTTACCAATCCTCCAACAGATTGTGTTCAACTGTTAAACTCTTCCATTCATAAACAATTATCACATTTTCTGTGGGAGATGAGCAGGCTGAGCCCGAGGGAGGAGATAAATATGTCATCAATCTTGAATCCTTTCATGGCCACAAGAGATTTAAGTCCAGCCCATCTTGAATTCCACTGACTCTTGTCTACTGCCTATTTGCTTTGACCGTTAGATCAAAGTTCAGATTCTTATAGACAGCTTAAGCTTGTAATAAACCTTTATGTTTATCTGAACTGTCTGGATTTCTTGATTTCTCACGCTTGACATTTCCTATTTTGAAAGAAGTTCAAGAAATTTTTTGCTGAAACCATTGGGCTATCTGAAGACATTTCACGAGGGTACTCTACCACCATATAATAATTTTTCATCTAAATATAATAGATGTTATTTTCACTTGAATTTTCCCATTTAGTTGGGATGGTTATTTTGCAACAGAATGTAAATAACAACTTACCTTTTCACCTTTGCCACCCTTTAGCCCTCGGACGCCATCAGCACCCTATGGGAAAATATAGATGACAATGACCAAGGGACCAGATTAGCAAAAATTAATGCCAGGTTGATTGTTTATCAAATAAAAACATAATGTTCGCCATACCTTTACACCACGGGGACCAGGATAGCCAACTGGTCCTTGATGACCTGCAGGACCCTAGAAGACATTGAATTTTATTTACATTATATTATATGAAGTTTAAACAGAATACACAACACACACGATGATACCCATTTACTTTTCAAAGGTATCCGCAGTTGCTGTTTGGAACATGGTTTCTTAATATAATGTACATGGTTCAATCATAAATATTCAGCAATGTGTTAATTTAAGGCAATTGTGATCGACTTACAATCATTCACTGTTTGAAATCCCAACACCACTGAAAAAAAATGGCATGACCTGTTTTCACATATAGGACCACTGCAGCATCCCCATGTTGATGTGATCAAAATGTGGGTGTTTGACATTGGCATGGGTTTATTACAGCTGCAGAGTTATGTGATCACAAATGGTAACTTTCCCAGCCAACTTCCAACAAGCAAAATTAATGAAGAAGCCAGCTTTGCTTTAACTATTGCATGCTTCACCTAAAAACTGCAGTTATTGGCTTAGTGACTGTGGCAAAAAAATATCGCAAAGGGGGCACAACTCATTTAACAACTGTCTTGCTCAGCAACAGAAATTTTGGGATCCATTGTGGTCATAAATTGAGAACTTCCTGTATATTGCATCAGCCAAGAAGTCCAAATTGTGAATGGGTACATAACAGCAGTCAACTGAGGAATTTAGTAAAACTTGTACTAAGAAAGGCTTTTCAAGTGGGAAATAAATATGGAATTTTAAACCAAAGCAACAGTGAACTATGCCATGCAAATCCATCTAAATTGAATGATAAATTATATAGCTATTTAGGATAATTTTGTACATTAATATACCCAATTTTTTAAAATCACATCAAATAAATCTTTATTTATACTAATTTATGAGCATTAGGAAATACTATTATAGTATTGGGCATGTTATCTTTAGTTCCTATAATTTTTAACAGAAAGACACATATGGGCTGACTCTCCTTTTTTACTTATGCTAGGATACATTTCCAAATTAGGACTATCATTTACAGTTTTGGAAGCATTAATTCCTCAAGAGAAAATTAAAAGTAACTCATTGGCTGCAATGTTTTTCTTCTTCTTTTAACTTACATACATTTGGATGGAGGTCAGAAATGAAGTCATTGGAGGAAGAAATAATTATTATATCACCCATACACAAATAACTAAATAGGGTAGTTCTAACCTGGACTGAGAACCCACATACTTCCTTTTACATACACAAGAGGGTCAATTGACCATTACATAAACAGCATGTTATATGACCAATGAAACAAAAAAATGCAATTGCTTAATATTTTACTCCTTAATCTAGCAGATGTTAGAAACATTGCTTCTAATAAGGGGAGGGAAAACATTGTTTTTACTCTCTCTCTCTCTGTGTGTGTGTGTATGTGTGTGTGTGTTACAGAAGACCACTTAGAATTTCAGATAATCAAAGTTGGGTAGAAAAACAACACTGGATAAAAAAGAAGAATTATGGAATTAAAGGAACCATCTGCACTCTGCTGAACCATTACTGTAATAATACTGTGCTGCATAGTTAGATGATGGATGTTCCCCGCCATGGTTTTAATGTAGTAATCTGTAAAAACATTATCTTTCAAACCTGTTGGTGCATGCTCTTGTGAATAATGTGATACCTTGGTACTCAACTGCTTTGAAACTCATCAAATTTGGTACTCAATGCATTTTGGTGTGAAAATTTTGTCTCAGTATTCATCGTTTATTTAGTTCTCAATGCACAAGCTAGAACTTGCCAGTGTCGGTTGCCATTATTCCTTAGAGGAAAGATCTGTTTGGTACTCATCATTTTTGGCACTCATTGCACCAATTAAGGACTAATACCGAGATACCACTGTAGTTCAGTACAGGTCCAGGCTTCTGTCTACCATACCCAGCTCAGCTAGCAGTGTTAACCAGTTCACTGGATATTAACGATCTGTGAATGTGACATGTACTTGGACAATATAACCTGGCCAACATAAAGTTGTTGAGTAATAATTTAAATTTCACTTCATTTAAAGTAATAAAAGTTTGCTTCACTGAAAGTAATTTAAAATGGAAGAACAAGTGGGATGCTTGGTGAGAATAGAATGAAAAATCATTCTGAATTTTTTCTTTATTATTTTCTTTAATTTATTTGCTGCCCATTTCATATCAAAATGACTCTGGGCAGATGTATTGCCTAATTTATTAAGAATTTATAGAGTTATTTCTTTATTGAGTTTATTGACAGAAGCATTGGGAAAACTAGGTTATTCTAGAGAACTATAAATAGTATGAAATTACCATCATCATCATTTATGGTCAATAACCAAAACAGTACAGAAAATATTATCTTTTTCCCACCACGTTTATGCTGAACATTTTCCTTTTATCTTTAAATAAAGAATATCCAGTTGATGAATTTATTTATCACTTTTGTTTTTTTTGTTAACCACTCTCAGTGCAAAAGAATTGCATGGAAGAAATTAAATAAATAAATATTTTTCAGAAGAAGAAAAAAGTTTGTGAAAAGCTATATTCCAGTGATGATAGTTCTAATGGACTAAGATATCAATCACAGTTTATTTAACATAGTTCCATATGTCACTCTTTTTCTAATTACAACCCACTCATACATGCACACTTTTTACAGCAAAAAAATAAATAAAAATAAAGTATAAAATATAAACATACCGTGTCACCTTTCTCTCCAGACTGCCCTTCTTTGCCTGGATGACCCTATTAACAAAATATATTTAGGGGAGGAGAAACACTTAGTGTGCAAATACCATAGAAATAGATTCATTCCTATTCTCAAACAATATTTTATTTTTTTAGTATTTTCATTATTCTAAAAACACATTGCCAACTTGAAGTTTAAAAACACATTGCCAACTTTCTCCTCGTACAAAACTTGGCATCTATTATCTGATTAGAGAAAGACAAATTCTACCAAATTTCTGCTAATGATTATTTTCAGGATCTTCTAAGTAGGATTCAGTCTAAAACTGACATAGGTTTACTGAATGGTGTGAAGCAATGAAGTCATTGAGGTCTTTGGACAATCTGGTAGATAATGGTTATTGTTTTTATTACCTGTTGCTTCTTCTAAGTGCATGCTAGACTTTGGCCTCAAAATCTCACTTTAATGACATCACTCAATAAACATCAGAAGAATTCATTTGATTCATCAGGTCAAAACCCAACACATTAGAAATATTTTGCTTCCCCAGAATGGCTAACCAGAGCTGTCCTCTTTTGGCATTCTCTTTCATATGAATGGAAAATTCAATTTTATTGTCTGAGCAAATTATCTTTAATAACCTCCAGCTGAGTCTATGTACCATGGTTTTGATGGGGGAACACAGCCATATGATTGAATTCCCTCTACAACAAAGATTGTGTGTGCAGAACATAAGGAACAAGGCTTTGATCATATATCTTGATTTTTGCCTTGCTTCACAACTCCTTCTAAACTTACCTAGCCCATTTCTAGAGCTTGGAATAATGAATTCTATATGTAAGTTACTTAAAATGAATCACTTAAATTAAACTGCCCTGAATCTAGGAAAGGTATTATGGAATTTGGGGAGAAGGCAAAATTAGTTTTTAAAATAGGAACTCTGTGGTACCATATATAAGAGAACATAAGGTTATTTAGAAACAAGTTGTTTAGTTGTCTTTCCTGCCAAATGTTTAATCTGGAACCAGATAACATGACAAAAATTATTTCCTATTCCCACTCTTCTTTTAATACACAGGAAAGTGGGAAACACAGAATGAAATACACCTTGTTGCAAACATTTTTCACCCTTTTATTTGTTTGATTGTTACATATGGGCTGGGGAGGCTGCTGTAGAGCTTCCTCTGAATATAAATTATTAGTTGTCACTAGGAAAAAAGAAAATTGAATGGGGGTGGAGGGAAGCAGATTTTGGTGCTTTTATATGTCCCATAATATATAATGTTAGGCTACAAACAAATTAGACTCATAAAATAATTCAAAATAATAACTGGCACAATCCAACTCTATACTGATACCAGCATACCACGAGGCTGTTCTTGCTACATTAATAACACAAGCATCTAGAGGTTGTCTTCAAAAGTATAAATTAGTATTGACAATATATCAAACCAACAAAGATGCTCTTTTATTTTAGATCCAAATATTTTTAAAGGTAATGGAAAAGCAAGTAAAACACTGGAAGTATTTCTCCATTTGATGTGTTTTCTCTGGAAGATAGGAATTGATTATTTTTATCTGTCACCCAACATTACACTAAACTACACCATTAAAGTTATGGCACAATAAGATGAAAGAAAACAGTAACAGAAATATTTTACTGCCAGTGCAAATCAATAGCCTGAACACTTTCCCACTGGGTTAAATCCACATGCAAGTTAAGAGTATAATAAATCTTCAGCTTTGTTGTCCATCTCCAAATGAAAGAATTAGATTCAGTGTGTGATTTAGGTTGTAATCTTACATAGTTACTTAGAAGCAAGTTTAAATTAGATTTACTTTTGAGTAAAAATGTACTACTGTACTAGGGTTGCATCATCCTACTCATTCCATTTTGCTCTGTTCTTTTAATACCCACTTTAAGGTAAATATTTCATCCAACTTGTAACGCAACTCTGTTCTGATCTTTTTCTGTTTATAAGTGCAATAATAAAAGGATTGCTATAGTGGCAATATATACATGTCACTCCTACTCTCAGTTACCTAGAAGTAAATCTCACTGAATTCAGTGGGATTTATTTCCAAGAGATCAGAGGATGATTGCACTGTACCCATTATTATCTTCGGAGAGATCTACAAAGTCTAGTTGACAGGCTGAGAATCAATCAAAACAATTTTCGACACATTGAGACTAAAATAACCTGGGGAAAGGAATGACAGCAGAACTGGCACAAATTCTATATTATGTTGAAGGCAAAAACATATATTAAATCAGGGCTGATTTAAAACAGATGTGCTACTCTTCAGATGTGTTAAACTCCTATCAAGCCATCAGCACAGATTTTGCAACCGATATGAGTTGTAGGCTAGTGTGTCTGCAGGGCATCAGCCCAGGCAAGTCTGTACAAAATAATGATGGCATATATTTAAGCACAGATCCTAAACTTTTGTTCCTCTTCTCTTCCTTTGTAATTATGAGAGATGGGGGCAGGATAACCTTTTCTGCTTGTATACCATACTCTCAGGCACTGTAATCTCTTTAAATTATTGCAGAAATAAAGGTATTCTCAAATAAATATAGTTGGTGTGCCAACTGTAACAAATTGGTTTTATTTGTGTATCTATCTGCTTTTGCAAGATGCCTAATCAAGCAGTGTAAAATTGAAGATGGGAGTTAATATAGTCCAGTAGTCATATGTGAAGCCAAACAAAGATTTAATAATCTATTGCTGCTTATCTGAGGAGGATTGTATGTTTATGTTTAGTTCTCTTTTGTTCAGTTCTCATCATAGGCTGGATAAATAATCACAGGAACTGGTGGTACAAAGTTTGTCAGGAGTGTTGCTAATAATATATCTAGTGTTTTTTAACTTGTTGGATCACAGTCTAAACCATAATGGATTAACTTGTAACTGCCATGCAATGAAGCCAACCACTAGATTAATTGGTGTAATACAGCCAGCTCTTTCCGGCATTGGCTCTACTTCATATATGCAAATCATAAGAATCACTATGGTATTAAGCTTTGGAATTTTGAGTATCTGATTTCACAAATTGTGCATTATCCTCATTTGTTTATGGTGAGAGGTAAAGAGAATACTGAAAACATGGTTATGCATTGTAGAGAACAATTGCTATGATTTGTATCATCATCTGAATGAAAATAATAATGTATGTCTATGGAGATTCTCAGTCATCTAGGTCATGGTTGCCCCAAAGGTGCTTCTTCAAAAGGCAGTTGGACTTTGTTTTTCCTTGAAGACATTTTGCTTCTCATCCAAGAAGTTCTTCAGACAACATATTCTGAAATATATGTCATTTGTGCTAGGTGATTGCCCAACTAACACAAATTAAAAAGTCTACATCACAGTACAATGACATGATGTGTGGGACATCACCATGGCTTTTATTGAATCCCTGGATCTAAATTATTATTATTATCCATCATGTGACTTCAATGCAAACCTAACTTTGGTTTGGTAAACACATTTCTATCTAGGTTAGGGGTCTTTAAACTTGACAGCTTTAAGACTTGTGGACTTCAACTCCCAGATTTCCTCCTCCAGTCATGTTAGCTCAGTTAGCTTGAAGTCTCTTGATCTATGCGATAATCGTTTTGTTTTTAATAAAGATGCTCTAGCTCATAAAAGCAGAATCATTTTGAAATTAATTTTTTTACCATTGGAATGAAAAGTACCGCAATGATTAGAACTGAAAAGCTGTGAGTTCAACTTTACATCAAAAACAATGAAACATTTTTACTGACAGAGCAGTTTATTTAATTTAAACAATTAATTTTCTCCTAAATCTTTTATCGTGTTAATTTCTAGTATTTTATATGTGTCCTACACAGGTCAGGCAACTAAATTCATTTTTTTTTAAAAAAATTCAGTGCCAGTGCAATTTCTCATCTATCATTTCAATGACCTTTTTTTAAAATAAATAAATGCTTAGATGAGAAATATGGATCAAGTTGAAATAACAAAACTGGATAAGCTTTAGATGTTCTGCTTCGAGCTATTGGTATGCAACTTCCTTGTTGAAATTCATGAGCATAGAACTGAAAAATGATTTTTAACCCAAAATATAAAATGGACTAAATTACATATCACTTACAGGAGGGCCATCAGTACCAGGAAGTCCTGCCAGACCAGGTTTGCCCTGAGGACCCTGGAGACAGAAATGAAAAAAAGATTTTTGAAAAACCAAAGTTAAGGTAGATTCGCATGCTGCCAATGTTTGCAAGTCAATGATTATTCTTGAATCAAAATCAAAATTCCATCAGGAAGAAGAAATCAAGTAGCACTTCAATGTTGAAGACTAGTTAGAGCATTTTGAAGTTTGCATCCAGCTGAAAGATTGGGAATACATCATTTGGATGGGATGGGATGAACTTAATATTGTGGCATGATTTTTTTTTCAAAATCACTTCCACATTTCTTTTATCAGTTACATTATGTACACCCAATTATTTTATCCAAGTATAATGAATAAATATTGGAAATGTGGCAAATTTTAACACTCATGAGTAGGAGTGAATGGCGAGACTCTCAAATAAATTGGCATATCTGCAAACAATATTCATTTATTCCATTTTTGGATGAATAAAAATGAATATTTTTTGCATTTATCAACATTCAGATGTTCCCAAGCTATGATTCATGTTTTGTTAACATGCACAGGTGAATACTATCATTTTCTAAAAATATCACAAGTATAAACACAATTGTGAAATGGTGGGATAAAACAGACAATCTCAAAAAAACAAAAAAACAAACCCCACATGGGGACATAGCTTCAATAAGACCTAAAAGAAATGGTTTTTCTTTTTAAACTGTGATTGCAGGAGAAGATGCAGCTACTTTAAAGGTTTGCAATCTTATATTTGAATCCCTATGCACTTTGAATAATTTTTTTTAATCGAATCTCTTTTTTTAATCAGATCTATCGTCATGTGATTGGAACAAGAAGCTTTGGCCTAACTTGAAACTGACATTGTTGTTGTGTCAGTAAAACTAGCATTTTGTTAGCATTTATACTCTGTTACGAAGCTGCACAGCTGTGAGAGCTGGAGCTTGCAAAGTGGAAATGAGGAGCCTGGGGCCAAACATGACCATACTGTAAATACAGGCCAGGTGTACAAGACCAGCTGAAGGGAAGGGAGGAAGAAAGAAGAGAGAGAGGAGATTACAAGTAGTCTATTACAAAAGTGTAGTAGAAAGAAGCTCAGGGCTTCTTTCTACTCTAGGGCACACATATAGTTTCTCAGCCTTTGTAGAAGTTCTGCTTCATCAGAACAAAGGTTGCTGTCAAGCCCCAGAGTCCCCTAACATCGATTGGAGTCAGACAGTGCCAGGGCAACTTCTGGTAATAGTTACAAAGGAATGGTGAATTGATGCTGCAGTAGATACCACATGTGTTTGAAAGAATGATCTTCACATGTGTTGCAATCAAACTATTCTCATAAATCTAACACAATCTTTTCAATTTAATAAGGGTTTTGTTTTGGTGTTTTTTTTTGCTTTCAGGTAAAAGTCACTAGCAGAAGATAAGCCAATCAATGGTTACTAACCAAGCAGGATATATTTTATTTTCATTATCTTCTTTAGCACATCTTTCAGTATGTAATGGTGTGTGGGAATGACCTTAGGCGGAGAAGGGGGGCTATGCTGCCTTTAATCAAGTAAGAGAGGGCACAGCCTCCAGCTGCATGATGGACAGAGAAAGAAACTCAGAAAGAAACTCCCCCCAACTTATCAGGCTATAAAAGAAACAGGTGAGAGATATGAACTATCAGACTTGCAAGATTCTGTTCGTGTAGGCTTAGGGTAAAGTAGAATTAGCTCATCTGGTTGTGTTTCCTGTATGGTCTACCTGTAAAAGCTGACACACTATAATGATCCCTACTTTGCTTATGTTCAGCTTATGGGTTTCCAAGATCTTTTGGCCACCATGAAGTTGACTAATTGAACAAGGTACTTTTTATGCCCTCATGCTTGTGAGGAAATGCATCTTGTAAACAAGTTACTTTTTAGAAATGAAATGAATTTAAATGAAAGAATTTAAACATGAATTCAGAGGTTAACAGAATATACCTAGTGTTGATCACAATATGGATCAAAGATACAAATCTATTGTCATAACTGGCTTGGAATGAGAAGGTCTTATTGATGCAATATGGTCCCTTTTATTGTATTGCAGCTTCATTTCATTTCTGTCCTAGAGAAGCTATCTCATATGTGGAGGCTTTTTCTGAGATCTGGGCATCTGATTTTTAGAGTTTTACTTCAACAAAAAATCTTCAAAGATAAAGGAGACTCCCTATAGGTCTTAGTGCTCTACCATGACAATCACAGAGAATGAAGATGAAGAGCAAAATCTTCATCTGCATCACCACTTAGAATGCTTGGCTAAAGATGACTGACCAAAGAACACAAAGAATGGGAGAGGAAGGAAAAGAAATAGGCTATAATTGATATAGTGGAAAATTAGTCCATGCAGAAACTATCTTGAAGTTGACTATGGAGATTTTCAGCCATCCAGGTCACGGTTGTCCCAAAAGTGCTTTTTCAAAAGGAAACTGGACTTGTTTTTCCCCTTGACGATGTTTCACTTCTCATCCAAAAAGCTTCTTCAGCTCTGAAGCTTGATGTGCCTCAGCTTCTTCAGCTCTGAATTTTGATGTTGCTCAGTGCAGATTAATAATGCCTCATGGAAAAGCATCTGAGAGCATTTCCCTTAGAACATGGATATCCTGGGGCCAGGGAAGTCTGCCAGAATCTACATCTCTGCCTCATCTTCATGAAACTGATAGGAGCCAAGGGCCATTTCAGGCATTCCATGTACGCACATCATCTCCATGAGAAATAGATGTGCTTAGAAATGCTCCTCATAGCAGCACAAACACCTTATAAGGACAAGTTCTAAATGACATAGAGAACCCAAAGAACCTGGATGATTTTTAAGAGCAAGCAAAGGAGCTCAAGCTTTACTGCTTATACCGGCTTCACTGTCCCTTCAATATAAAAAGGAAATCATATTCCAAGGACCTGTTGTAATTATTCTTTAACATAAGGCTGAGTTTTAATTGCTATTTTGACTTCAAGTGTCATTGACTCCACTTCAAATGTCATCGATCCCATTAGACATTGATTCCAGAAAAAAGACATCACGGTGTACAGAGTCACAGAGACAAACGTGGTTTAGAAAACAATTTAAAAAAAACATGCTTGAGGCCTAGGAAACAAAGAAAGCGTGACAAATAAGCTGAGATTGACTTGACCCTAATTCACTGGAGTCTAATAGGAAAGGAAAACTCAAGTCAAGAGTTCAAGATTGTGTATTATATCTGTATTAATAAGATAGAGCTAAAGCCAAACTTGTGGGATATGACTACTAACTTGGCCTACCTCAAAGGGTTTACATACAGGTGACAAAGCTGAAGAAGTGGAAATTAGCACTTTCAAACATAGAAAAATGACACTTACTCTAATATTGTAAATTCAAGGTAAGTAGAAAACAGGACAATCTAAAACAAATATGTATTCATGCTACCAAGCTGCAGGATTTCTCTCCTCACACCGTATATATAAATAAGGTTAGAGGTCATAAGAAAAGTATCAGTGCATCCCAAGAAATTGGGCTGCTGGCTGAAATTTATTTTAGAAAAAAAGAAACCAGACCACATCTTAGGAAAGCAGAGATTTTGCTGTTGATTATTCAGCAAAGGAATATTCCTTACTTTTTCACCTGGAACGCCAATTAGACCTTGTGGACCTGGCAGTCCCTGTGGAAAACATGAAAAACACACCATAAAAAATGTAAACAGTCACAGAAATACTTTCTCTAGAGTTGTATCATTAAAAAGAATTCTTTCCTAAGAATCCCCTTTTTAATGAAACACAAGAGTTAGAGAAAACAAGATAATTGTAAGAACTTTCACACTTCACAAGTCTCCTGGAAACAGGGTTGCCATATGATCCACGATGAAACTCTTATATTATTGCTATTCTTGTTGGTATTTACAAAATCCAAATCAGTTTCTCTTCCCCCCAACCCCTCCCCCTTCCAAAAAGAAAAAAAAACTAATTATATTTGGAAGATTTGTGAAAAGGTAATGTAAGTTTCTGGGTGTTACCATAAAAGAGGTGGGGTGCTCATATTGCAGCATTGGTCAAAAGGGCCCAGCAGAGATTATGCTACCTGACTTCTCAGAAAACAACTGAATGAAAAACTGGTGACCTTCTACCACTGCACCAAAGAGAATATCTTTACTGCACCTCTGTATGGTTTCCAATTGCACAGTGGCAGATAGGAAAGCACTCCAGAGGGTTAACGTCATTGCCCAGATGATCATTGGTTGCCCTCTCCCCTCTTTGAAAGGGCTTTATAGCGCCTGCTGCCTTAAGAAAGCTCAAAACATTCTCAAAGATCCATCTCATCCTGGGAACCCTTTTTTGAACTATTACCATCTGGCATATGGTACAGAATAATAAAAACAAGGACAAATAGACTCAAAAACATCTTTTATCCCAGGGCAGTAGCTCTTTTGAATTCTGCTGTATAGTGAAGTATTGGTGCGGTGTTGGGGGTTTTCAGTTCAATGTGTGGCGGGTGAAGGATGTGTGTTTGTGTTTATTTTCAATGGTCATGTTGTGCACTGAAGATGGTGTTTGACTTCGTTGTATGAGGTGCAATGACAATAAAGCAAACTAAACTAAAACTACAAAAAAATATTCCTTTTTATACTAGGATCATTTTTAAGATAAGAAGGGAAGTAAGGGCATATGGAACCAGGGGAATGCATATTCAAACTTTTCATATCTGACTCTCCTGAATGTTTTCTTAATGGCAAAAGCTATCAAGCAAGGGCTTACCTGTGGACCTGGGTTACCTTGCTGCCCAGGGGGTCCTGGTTCCCCTTGTGGACCCTGTTTTATAACGAATGCACAGAAGATTATTAATTCCTTTGTTATTTCTCATCAGCACTTGAAAAATACTTGGGAGTTTACAGAAAAGGTGAAGGGATTCTGTACTGATTTCCTCTCCGCACTTTTTTGTTCCATGGAGACTTCAAATCATAATTGGCAGTATAGCATGATTAATTTGTGTTCTCTTTAGCAGCCCAACTGGTGTGGGGTAGAAAGATAGAGAAGACTCATACTGAAGATAAAATGCAGTTTTTAACCACAATATTTTGGGGAACATTCAAATAAATTTAAAACACCGAGGACACGATTAGGAGGATTATCAACTTGTAGGTTGCTATTTTGGATTTCTTTGAAAAATAATTATTGGCCTCAGCTACCCAAAGAGAAAAGAATTGAATCTACATACCAGGTTTCCTTTTGGGCCTGGTGGTCCATCAACACCTGGGATTCCCTACATCAAAAAACAAACAAACCAGAAAAACTAATATAGGTCACCACCATGTTCAAAAGAAATTTCAAAATATAAGGTATTTCTTTTTGAAATACATACAGGTTGTCCTGGTAGTCCTGGAGTTCCTCTTGGACCCAATAACCCTCGTGGACCCTGTGAGGAAAAAAAATGTTGCTTAGGATTCGTTTTTTGGTTCACAGAATACGCTTTTTAAAATGTAACTAAAAGGCTTTCTGTAATACCCAAAGAAAATGGCAATAGTTAAACAGCTTGATAACTAATTATTGTCAATCATGGAGACAAAGAACTTGGTCTTCTTCTTCTTCTTCCTGTTTTGTACAATGGAAAAAGCAGTAGTACATATATTGTAATGGTGGATTTAAAGCATTTCCTTTTTCCTTGGCAAGGTGCAAATATTTGAGACAAATATTCTCAAAAACTGGTCTGTGGACCATTAACAATCTATATAACTTCACTACATTCATCAGCCAGGGATCTTGCAGTGCTGTAGCCTAGTTTTTACATGTATGCTGAACAGCCCCAATTTCCAATGCACAAAATCCAGCTGATATTTAAGGGAAAAAAAATTACTAAAAGCTAGTCCATTGAAATCTACAAGAGATAATACTATTACCGTGTTTTCCCCAAAACAAGACACAACCAGAAAATAAGCCCTAGCATGACTTTTCAGGATGCTTGTAATATAAGCCCTACCCCCAAAATAAGCCCCAAGATTGTCACCCAGATGGAAATATTTATACTGTATTTTCCCCAAAATAAGGCCCAGTTGGAAAATAAGCCCTAATGCATCTTTTGTAGCAAAAATTAATATAAGACCCAGTCTTATTTTGGGGGAATTACGGTACCTATGTGAGAAATCTGATAACACTGAGTAGATCTTGAATGGGGCTACCTATTGTAAATCTGTATATATGCAGTGCTAAGTGGAATTTTGATCTTATGTAAGCATATCAGCAGGAATGCATAAGGAATGCAATGATCAATTATTAGCCCAAAACACACATTGTGTTAGAAAGAAGTTCCCTGAGGATGGGCTCCAGTATAAGTCAGAATACTTGGAAAATTAAACCTCTAGTCCTGATGACCGACCCAGATTGAATCCTACAACATTATCCTAGGACAGTGATGGCTAGCCTTTTCATCCTCCTGTGCCAAAAGTGCACGTGCACACCAGCACCCAAAAGGAAATGCACGCAGGGGCCCCCATGCCCCTGTGCATGTGCATGCAACCCCCCACATGTGCCACACATTTCTGTGCATGCGTGCGTGTCTCCTGCACGCTCCTCACATATGTGTGGCAGTTACCCAACAATAAGCTGGTGGATGGGCGGCAAGAGCACCTGCGCAGTAGACCTGCTCTGGAGTGACGGCTCACGTGCCAGCGGAGATGGCTCTGCATTACACTTCCAGCATACATGCCACAGGTTCGCCATCACGGTCCCAGGACATGTATATTTCCCTTCATTTGTGACAGTTATCAATATACAAAATGGGATTTTTATGAAGATCTCATCCCACCTGCTTATTACTAAGACATTTCTATTATAAAATATTCTTGGCTAGCAAATTATGTAAAGTAATTAATGAGATAAGGGAATATTTAATTCTGGTGTACAAGTAGTCCTTGACTTACAACCATAATTTAGCCCAAAATTTCTGTTGTTAAGTGAGACATTTGTTAAGTGAGTTTTGCCGCATTTTAGGACCTTTCTTGCTACAGTTGTTAAGGGAATTACTACAATTGATAAGTTACTAACATAGTTGTTAAGTAAATCTGGGTTCCCGATTGATTTTCCTTGTCAGATGGTCACAAAGGTTGATCACATGACCTTGGGACACAGCAACGATTATAAGTATGAACCAGTTGCCAAGCATCTGAATTTTGATCACATTATCATGGGGATGCTACAAAGTTTGTAAGTGTGGAAAATGGTCATAAGTCACTTTTTTCAATGTTGTAACTTTGAACGATCACTAAATGAAGTGTTGTAAGTTGAGGACTATCTGTACTTTTTGTACAAAATTGAATTTAAAATGGCCTTTTAAAATGAGCAGGAAAGCATACATGACAAAAAAGCAACTACAATCCTTATCTTAGTTTCCCAATTATTTATTTTGGAAGAACAGTAACACATTCCTCTTTTAGATACATGTATTTATAACTGTGGAAGCCCATTTTGTTCAGTGATTAAAGATATTGGACTAAAAATCAGGAAACTGAATTCTTGTCCTGCCTTAGGCATAGTGACTTTGAGCCAGGCCCTCTCTCTCAACCTAGGAAGGAGGCAAGGTCAAACCAGGGGTGGGATTCTACCAGTTCGCACTTATTCGCTAGAACCAATTGTTAATATTCTAAGCAGTTCAGAGAACCGGTTATTAGAAAAAATTACTGACCTAATCCTGTAAGGAAGGCAGGAAGGAAACATTCTGGTATTGCTTACAGAAACTGCCTCTTCGTTAACCTTTATTACATTCTTGGTAGGACTAGACTTCCTGTCTCAGAAACTTCTCTGGAGTTTTTTTTCCCTCCTTTGCTGGTACTTTGCTTGTGTGGAGTGACCATTCAAAGTTATAATGGCACTGAAAAAAGTGACTTATGACCCTTTTTCACACTTACGACTGTTGCAGCATCCCCACAGTCATGAGAGGCCAGGCGAGGACATGCGTGCCTTGTTGAGTAATATTGAGTTGGCCATGCCCAGCCAATAACATGACCACCAAGCCATGTCCACCCAGTCACATGGCCAACTAAGCCACGCCCACCAACTAAGCCATGCCCACAAAACTGGTTAAAAAATTTGAATCCCACCCCTGGGTCAAACCACTTCCAAAGGAAACTGCATGGATTTGTCCATAGTAGTCATCAGGAGCCAAGACTGACTCAAAGGTATAAATATACATTTACAACTATATATAGTAATGTGCTTTCAGAGCTTCAAAAAAGTATACAGTTTAAACTGAAAATTGTGGGATGTCTATCCAAATTCCAAAGATGCCATTTTGAGAGCAATTTGAAAAGCCACTAATTGCTAATCTTTTTTCTCAAATCAAAGTCTTTGAAATTCTGAACTTTTTTCCTACTCCAAACAGAAAAGACATGGATAGTGTGAATTCCCTTTCCTAGTCTACCTTAAAGATTCTGGGATCAACAGAAAGGCACCATACAAGTTACTCACTTTCATCCAATCATTTTAATTAAAAAAAAAAACCTCATTATGGAACAGCATATACCTACATGCAAAAATACATACATAAGAACTTTAGAATCAAGAGGGAAAATAATTTCTATTCGTTGTTGCATACATGTATTAAACCAAATTCTTTAGAGTATGCCATGTATATGATGAAATAGTTTTCTTCTATGATAGCCAATAAGATCAACGTGAATTCTGTAATTATTCATGTAAGATAGATCCATAAATTGTTGCAGTGATAAAATTCTGTAAGTGAGACTTGTGAAATTCACCCTAAATTAAATAAGCAAGTGGAGGAAAAAATGGCCATGAATATTCATAAATAAAAATATAGTTATATCAATAAGAAAGGAAAATAGCATTAGTTTACTTCAACAAGGAGCAAAGAACTCTTTATGAACAAGTCAGATGTCAACCCTGAATTTGTCAGCTGAATTTGTTCCCTAATTATATTTCATTCCAAAATGGTGCCCTGGACAGACTATAGTATATTTTTTTCAGAGACAAATAGATTCACAACAAAAGCAATCATAATTACTAAACAAAGAGAAAGCTTTGCTTACAGATTCACCTGGAAGGCCTCTTGGTCCAATCTCACCATCTTCTCCCTTATTTCAAGAAAGACAACATTGAAAGGGGGTTAACTGTGAAAGAAACATTTCCTTTAAACTTTTATTTTGCAGGTGAAAAACAGAAGGAATGCTATGAATGACATACTCTCATTCCATCTTCCCCAGGAGCACCAGGAGGCCCTTGTGGTCCACGATCTCCCTGAAGAAAATAATAATAATAAAATCACATTTTGGGGAAGAGATTAAAAAATGTATGCTGATGCACATGTTTGAGCTTTATGCTGGCATGTCAGGACATGGCTTTGCTAAAAAGACACAGATCTCTACATTTTATATCACCCTGCAAATGCTTCTATTGAAGGCTGGATTCAAAGTATTGGCCATAATTCAACACAAGAGTCAAATATGTTAAAATCCATTGAAATGAAAAGGTTGAAACATGTCTAATCCTACACTAGATAGTAGACACTATTTAGTCGTTGTCTTACAAACAAAACACAATTCTAAGTACGATGCATAGCTTTCCACATTTGCCAACCCTGCTTATTGGAAGTTTAGAAATATGAACAAAGTTTCTATGGAACCAAAATAGTTTAGCATTTCATGAGAAAAGCAGAGTAATGTTATACCTATATGTTCAGCACTTAACGACAACATCAATAAATGACTGATATATAATAGTTTACTGCAAATCACAGATTAAAGCATCAAATGAAATCACAATTTAATATACTAGTTCATGCATCCCTTCTGTTTTCTAGTACACCTACAATGCAGGGCAGGGAAATTTATGTCTATGTTTTTTTTAACCACAGTTTTCGATATCATCCAACTACAGAATCTATGGTTAATCACTTCCATGGAAGGTTAAACACTGAATTAACAGGGGAAGCAATATTTGGTAGAGGAGAACCAGCCCACGTTCAGCGTGATTCATCCTCAATATCTCAACTATGCTTTTGCCTGGTATTCAAACAGTTATTAATTTCTAATTAAATGCTGAAATATTAAGCAAAGTTCCTTCTGCAAGATGACAGTTATGTTCTCTAGATAGCAAAAAATTGTGTCTCAATTCAAATCAAAAGCCTTTGGATCACACACACATATACACACACTATATATATAAACACACACAAATATACACATGAATGCACGCACATATATTTTATACACACACACATGCATACACGCACAATAAATAATCTAAATGCATGCACACATTTCAAATTTGCAATTCATACTTAACCTCTCATAAAAGCTTGATTATTTGAAATTTCAGATTGCAAAGGCAGGTTTTCCATAAGTTAATTTTCCATTTTTGAAATCTATTGTAACTTGTGTATATAGAAAGATTCTAATATTGAGGCTGCTGTTTCCAGATGCAGAAAAAAAGTTTGCAAGAAATTAGTATCAAAGATAACCTTAAATATGCAAGGAACATATTGATATAATAGCCAGTCATTTACCTAGCCGTGGCAAACATATTCTCAATAACAGGATCATAAGAGTCATGAACAAAGTTAATAAACAATGAGTGAGAAGAGTCACAATCTCACTTTACTTCTTATTTGTAGGGAACTTTGAATAATTGGATCTTTAGGCAGCCAGAACTAGTAGAAAAAATATGTGCAAATGTACAAATTAAAATTATGTTTTGGCTCAGAAACTTTTCAAAATACCTAAAAAACATAATCTGTGACCTATACATCTAGATAAAAAAATGTCAATGCTTATTTTGTATAAAAAGTACATATTTTCATTTTCTTACAGATTTTTGTAAAAAAAATTGTATAATAATATGCAAACACAGTGTTCCCAGATTGTGAATCAACACATGTAAAAACACCATGAACAAAAACAGACTGGTTGAGAATTTTTTCCTATATACATTTTTGTAGGCAAAACGTTTATCACATTTTTCAAGGATAAAATAATCTAAAAGTATATTTCGTATCAAGCTTCTCAGCTGAAATAGTTCTATACATTTTCAAGAAGTCTTTCACTTTGTGAGTTAGATGTAGAATTCCTGTATGTTAGTTAAACCAAGAAGCCCCATTTCAAGTGATGAGAATAAAAATGTGAAAGCTATATACAGTATAAGCTGTGGAATATATATTACTTTTCAATTACTTAGTTCCCTCTGCTAGAAGAAGACAAGAATATATATATCAAGGAAAGATAGGATTCGTGTGGTCAGGCTGACTAGAAATTCTAGATGTTGTACTCCAATGGGCTGTAAAAACCTGCCACCATCTATGGTTTAACAAAGTCAAAAGTAAATGAACCACATTATGGTTTAGTGCAGGGATATCAAACTCTATTTCATTGAAGACCGCATCAGGGTTTTATTTGACCTTGGGGGACTGGGGTGGGTGTGGCCAGGGTGTACATGGCCAGCTTGATGTCACTAGTATGATCAAATGCTAGTTTTGCTAGTAGATTGTTTTGCTAGCACTCTGCCAATGAAAACAACTCGGCAGGGCCATGCATGGATCCATTTTTGCTGGCAGATGCACTGCAGGCCAGTCCTTCACTATTTTCCCACGGGCCAGATCTAAGCACTCCACGAGGCAACCCAGCCTGCGTGCCTTGAGTTTGGCATCCCTGGTTTAATGTAACATATGAACAGCTCTAAAAATCTGTCAATAATGTAGCTACAGTAATTAATTTGTCATTCTAGCCATTCTAGCCATTGTCTATCCACTGCAGGAGAAGGGTCTCTTCTGCATGTTTCCAACCAATCCAGTCTTGAGCTTTCTTTTGCCTGCAATACTTGCTGATGCCATCACTCCATCTTATTTTAAGTCTCTTTTGTGAGTGCTTTTTATCAAGTGGAATCCATTCTAAGACTGCCTTAGTCCATCAGTCCATCTTGCTATATACAGCTCAAAATTTCAATTGAATTGAAATTTCATAATTGTATTATTGGCTCTGAAATACCCCAAGAATCTTTAGAGAGGGATTGATATACAGGGACTTAGCTAAAATGTGTCCCTATCAACTTAGCATACGAGTCATACTTTTTTCCAATTATGGACATACGAATCATTAAAAAAAGACAGTGGAGAGAAGCAAAGTATGCTTGCTATCATAGTATTCAAAATTTCACATCAATTTTGCTGCTACTGTTGCTGCTACTACTACTACTGCACTGTTATGGTGGTTAACCTTTCGTGAGATTCACAGCCTTTGGGGCTGGTTGGTAGCTCAACAGCTTGAGTCCTAACCAAGGATCTAGGAACTATTAAGGTAGCGTCAGAGGATATAAGCTGTTCCAAGTAGGGTGGTTTTTTGATAAATTCAGAATTTCCAAATAGCGAGGTAGCCCTTTAGGTATTGCTCCAAGGGCTCCAATTACAATTGGGATAACACACAATTTCTTTTTCCAAAGTCACTCAACTTCAAATTGTAAGTCTCGCTGCTATTATTATTATTATTATTATTATTATTATTATTATTATTATTATTATTATTATTATTATTATTATTTAAGTTTATTGGTTGCTTAACTCTGATGGACTCTGATATAGAGTGTAACATGGTATTAAAAATTGAAATCTTGAATTGTTCAAGATATGAGCTAAAACTATTTTAGGATAATTAAAAAATACACAAAGAGGTATTTCTAAAGGAGGAAATAAGAGAATATTGTAATGGGTCAGCCTGACTGAAACTGTGATAATCCCATTGATCTTAGACATCAAGAATTTAAATTGAATTTAATTGAATACTTTATTGACCAATTGTGATTAGATACACAAGGAATTTTTCTCGTACAGAAACTTTCAGTGTATATGCAAAGCAACAAAGAAAATAATAATTCCAATAAAGAAGGGAAGTAAAGAATTAAGTGTGTTTCTGAATTAAAAAGTCCTCCCATGTAAAAGCTTCATAAATGATAACAGAGAGACAGACAGGTGGTACATAAATAGGATAGTACATATACTATTATAATTCAAAGATGTTTATCTTTTATTCCCAAATTGCCATACTGAAGAAACAAATTACATGTAGGCGATGTCAAACACCTGTAGTGTGTGGGGGACAGCAGAATGGAAGGGTTATCAATTACTTTCTATAGATTTTTTTTCTAATTGGATCAATACGTAGACTTGGGATATATCAGCTTGTCATTTTTTAAATGTGAGCTTAAAATATGTGCGTATTTTTTTGTGTAAGTTCATACCTTCCCATTGCTAGCATAGGCAAGGCTTCTGAATTCAGAATTCACCTAAGTCTGTGTTTCGTGAGGGTATGATTGTCCCGGTTTTAACATTTAAAAAGCTCAAGCTGAAAAATTACCATAATGTAAAGCATAAGTGGATGTGACAGTGCAAATAGTCATCTATAAATAGAAACAATATAAAGAAAAATACCCATGATTTTGAGAAAATGGGCACTTAAAGGTCACACAGTTGCTAGCTCAGCCAAAGTGGCTTACACAAAGATGGAGATGGAATTGTGGGAATATTTATCAGCCATGGAAAAGATTCCTAGAGTGAAGTATTTAAGTAGCACAATAGTGATTAATGAACAGTGCCCTCTGCTGACCATTTATTTCATTGATTTGATTTTCAAAAGACTGCACATCTTCTTATTCAAGATGTTTTCTACCTTATATACTCTACAAATTAAATATTGATACACACGGCTAGGGTCAATGACATGGGCAAAGGCGTTCATGAAATATAAATAGTTAATAAAAAGCCGATAAGATAGAGACTAGCATTATCCAAACTATCATTATATAAACATTTTCAGAGTAAAAATAAGTTATTTACTGGGGGGACGGGGGACAAACGACACTTGTTTGTCACATACAAAATTCCACTTGATAAAAATGGATATGCTTTTTTTCCCCAAGCATTTGTGGGTTAGCTTGTAAAATTTCATTTCCCCAAATGGCATTTTGTAATGTCTTTGCACCATTGTATCCTATATTGTACACATGAAGCCTCCTTATGTCAATCTTGTGGAGATTGACATAAATTCCCAGTTAGAGCTGGGAAAATTTATATTATGGGATCCTTTTATGTGATTTTTTTTTAACTGCTTGTGCATATTTCACAATATGAGTGAAATGGGTTGACTTTCTGTTTTTTACTTATTTATTTTTATTTATTTTTGTCAATTGCTTACAAGATAGTAGGTATAAGTAAAAACATAGTTATGAATACATGGATGTATATAAGAAAAATAAAAAAATAAAAGAAACAATAGGACAGGGATGGTAGGCATGTTGGTGCACTTATGCATGCCCCCTACAGACCTCTTAGGAAAGGGGTGAGGTTAATAGTAGACAGTCTAAAGTTAAAGATTTTGGGGTTTGGGGAAGAAACCACAGAGTCAGGTAGAGTATTCCAGACATTGACCACTCTGTTGCTGAAATCGTATTTCCTGCAATCAAGTTTGGTGTGATTAACCTTGAGTTTTTATCTATTGTTTGCTCTTGTGTTGTTATAGTTGAAGCTGAAGTATTCATTGACAGGTAGGACATCGCAATGTATGATTTTATATACAATACTTAGATCGGACTGAAGGCGGCGTAGTTCTAGGTTTTCTAGGTCTAGAATTTCAAGTCTGGTGGCATAAGGTATTCTGCAATGAGTAGAGGATGGAGAACTCTTCTTGTGAAATATTTCTGGACTTTCTCAACTGTGTTAATATTAGATACGTAATGTGGGTTCCAGACTGATGAGCTGTATTTGAGTATTGGTCTAGCAAATGTTTTGTATGCTCTAGTTATTAGTGTAATATTACCAGAGAAAAAGCTACATAGGATTAGGTTAACAACTCTTAATGCCTTTTTGGCTATGTAGTTACAGTGGGCTCTAGCACTTAGCACTGTTACGCCCTGAAGAAATTAAATACTATAAGTCAGTGGCCCGCAACCTTTTGGGCTCCAGGGACCTGTTCCATGCAGACAGGGTTTTCCATGGACTGGAAGGGGTGTGGTTTTGTGTACTGCCAGAGAGGAGAGGAGAGGGGAGGGGAGGGGAAGGGAGAGGGAGAGGAGGGGAAGAGAGGGACATTTACTGCTGAGCAAAAGGATGGAAGTATAAAGTGATCCATCCTTATACTGACAATCCACAGAAGAAGAAACAATATAAGTCAGGATTTTTCAAGCTGTATTCCACAAAAGCTGAGAGATCTGCAAGAACTTGATAGGATTTTATGAGAGATTACAGAGAAAAAAAAGTTGTCTTGAATGCAACCTTTTGTCTATCACTAGAGTTTTGCCTTGTGATCAAGGATTCTGGAGGTTTTTTTGCCCCTCAACTAACTAATTTAACAAATTCTTTAAAAGCTTGAAAACGTCTGATCTGAGCAATCACTTTAATGTACAGCAGCATTACTGACTTCAGTGAAGAGATATTTCAGTCTGGCTAATGAAAACCTGCAGACATATTCAAAGTCTACATCCCATACATATTAATTTACTATCTGTTTGATTTCCATCCCATAACCAGGCATAAATCTCACTGAACCCAATGGCAGTTACGACTGAATAAACATATGTAAAACCTGTAAACATATTGAAATCATATGGTTTCTGGAAAATGTCACAATTGTTTTGGACAATTCCAGATGTAGTTTTAATGTACCCACATTTTTAGATAAAGAAACATGCGTATTTTTCTTACCCTGTGTCCTTTTTCACCTGGTAGTCCAGGAAGCCCATCAAAACCTCTGTCGCCCTAATAGGAATAACAGTAATAACAATAACAGTGTGAACAATTCATTCTCACATTTTATAATTGTCTTAATAAATGGGTCAATCTGATAAATGAATTCTATTATACATCTATTTTATTGATGGATACTTTTGCCCTAAAACTGAACATTATTTGGAATTGCAACTAACAATCATCCTAAGGATGTTATTTGTAAAACATAATTGGAAAGAGAAAGAACATTTTCCTGGTTTAGGATAAAAATTTCAAATTCTGGAAGGGTACACTTCATACGAAGCAGCAGGAGGATTTTTCTTTCTTTTCTTTGGAGACCTCTAAACATCTTCTCCTTTTTGGTTTGCAGACTTGGAGAAGCTACTGTTCAGATTACCAAGAAACATCTCTTTACATTTCCAGGCATTCATTCATTCAGAAGGAAAGTACATCATGAAGTGGCTTTGTTTCTGATATACTGTAAAAGAACAAGTGACATCATACAATAGCCATACTCCACCCAAAGGTTTTCCCTAAAGATAAACTGGTTTCCTCTATTTGTTAAGGCCTGCTAGCCATGAAGATGCACCACTGTCTGCAAAAATGGAGCAACAGCTGTGTTAGGAGGAGCCTCTGTGGCGCCGTGGTTAGAGTGCAGTACTGCAAGCTACTTCTGCAGCCAGTTCAAATCCCACCAAGCTCAAGGTTGATTCAGCCTGCCATCCTTCCGAGGTGGGTAAAATGAGGACCCAAATTGTTGGGGGCAATATGCTTACTCTGTAAACCGCTTAGAGAGAGCTGCAAAGCACTATAAAGCGGTATAGAAGTCGAAGTGCTATTGCTATTGCTACTAGAGCTACAGTACTTCCATTTCATACATAATTCCCTGCTCTGCTCTGCAAAGTCAGTCACATTCAATCATATAATGGTACAAAAAGAAAATATCTGGTTCCTAACAGAAATCTGGACATTACAACAGCCTCTAGATAATCAAAGTCCAGAATTACTAACCTTAGAACCTGTCTCTCCCGGCATTCCTCTTGCTCCATCTGCACCAGGACGACCCTATTGGGTGGGGGGGGGAGAAATGTCTGTTTTGCACATCACAAAATTTAAAAAAATAATAATTACATCCTATAATTCTAGGTCCTTTTTATCAAAATGACCATTTTAAAGCATCGAAACTTACTCTTTTACCAGATTTTCCAGGCAGACCAGGTGGACCTTGAACGCCCCGAGGACCCTGAAAATATATGCATATGTAAGTGGCAGATGCTGTATACACACACACACACACACACACACACACACACAAACCATTTTCTGCTACACTGCATCAAGGACATCATGAGGAGATTCTCCTTTATTATAACCCACCTCAAACTAAGTCTTTAATTGATGTCGCCTAAAGGACCAATAAAAATGATTTCAGATTGATTTCAAAGCAAATGAAGAGTAATCACGTGAAGTCCTTGGTCCTCGCCAATCTTGGTTGTTTGCTTGCAGGTTTTTCATTATCCAACTAGGTAGGTAAGATCAACCTCTCTGAAAGCACCAAGGATTCAACTCAGAGCTACGTCTGTTCTCTTCCATTGGAAGAATAACCAGTTTGCAAAATTCTTCTAATATTTTTGATATTGAAAGGTTAAAAAGAAGGACTTTTCCATAGCCTTGAACACCGTAAAATACCGTTCTTTAAACTGTACAAAATAAGTGCTTGCTAAGAACGGAGGACAGGAACCAGATTCTATTAAACAATGGATTAAGAAAACTATCCCATATGGATTGATTAGATCCATTGTGTCTCTCCAGATCTGTGTCTGTCCAGGCATAAATCTCTCATTCTCTCTTCTGTGATGGCACCACAGATTTTAAATTAAAGCCTTTGCTGAATTGTTGACATTTAATATTTTAAACCAAATTTCTTTCATTATACTATATATCCAGCTGTACAGTTTGACGTAGACAAGACAATCTTCATTTTCTATCACATTTGCTTTTTTTAAAAGGACATTAATTCTTGAAGATTTTTTTTATAAAATGCCAGTAAGTTATTGTTTTTTAAATAAATTCTCTTATATCCATACTATAAATCACTGTTTCTCAATCTTGGCAAGTTTAGTATGTGTGAACCTCAACTCCCAGAATTCCCTAATCAGCATGGGAAGTGCACACATCTTAAAGTTGTTAAGTTTGTGAAACACTGCTATAAATATTCTACGGATTGTTTTGCTATATTTCTACAACTCTTCCTATGTGCCCAGATCTCAAAGCTGGTTACAATGCAGTTTTCTAGTAGGAATAAGCAACCAATTAACCTTTTTACATCCCGAAAATGTATTCCATGTTTGCAATTATGGAAAAATGTTTTGAACAAGCAGAAGATCTGTAAAAATATCATTAGATCCATCAGGGGACAATACCATAGGCAACACAAAATACTTGGATCCTATTTGTATTTTTATGGGAGAAAGACAAAAAATAAACTAGTAGAAAGTACAAACTAAGATAGTAGCAAGGAACATTTGTATGAGGGTGGGTAGAGAACAGAAATCATTAGTTCTCTGCAAACGTAAGTCCCATAAACAGGAAATATTATTGTTACAAAGGCATATCAGGTAAACCAAACAAAACAAAACAAAAAGCATTGTTGTTCTGTTGTGGGGAGCCATTAAAATCGAGTGTATGTTTATGCAACTAAATTAATGTACAATGTTTTGGGGAAAATAAGAATGAAGAAATATAAAAAACAATTAAATTGAATGTTTGAAGTCAGAAGGTTTCAGTGTAGGTGGAGGATTGAATGCAGTGATACTATTCATATCAGATTACACCTGGATTTAAAGACAAATTGCCTTATGAAACAATTCTCTCAGTTACTGGGACCACTCCAGCAGCTCTCTTGGACTAAAATTGAGGGACCCCATTACAAACCTACCATTTGCATTTGTTTCTTCATTGCTGATAGACTCTTACCTGAGGTCCTGGATCTCCACCGTCACCTTTGATACCAGATGAGCCAGGACTTCCCTACACCAAAGGATAGATGCCCAAGAGGATACTGTTTTAGTTCAATCAGACTCACATTTTGACACAGAAAAATAAACACTTTTGTACTGCTGATTATGATTGTGATGGACATGTTCACATCAAACTGGTTCATAATTTTATTTACTCCAGCCATCATCTTAAACCTAAAATTTACTGTCCAAGAATAAATATCTTTAAAGATGCTGGTCAACCCACTTCTAGTCTCAATAATAAATTGAGGGCATCTCTACATGGATTTTGTCACCAATCTCAGTTCCCATCCCTGTAATTTCATAGTGATAGGCAGTCACCTCTATTTTCAATTTGCAGTGCTGGAGCTGACAGGCTGTTGTTCACTGTCTCCCAGTTATATGTTTTAAGATTTCTCCACCACACCAACGACATGAACATGGTACAAACTGATTTTTGAGTTCTCAAGACCCGTGTAAGGACAATCATGGGCCATTGTAAAGATACCTCTGAAGATTTAGAGAATGACAGTGGTGGCTCTGGCTCCATGGAAGAATCCTGAAATTCTTCAGTTTCGCTCCTTTAGACTTCAAGCAGATACCTGAAAAATCCTAACAAAGTCACCGTTCTTTCTTTCATGCTACCTCCTTGCCCTCTTTTTAAATAAAAAGAGAAATTAACGAGGTAGGGAGTGGGCAGCATGCTACAAGATCCTGTCATCAGTGTCAAAACAATCCTTCCAACCCTGTTGGTGAAAATATGTACAGCATTTCCTGACAGGACTGATGTAATAAGATTCTGCATAGGAAAAAAATATTCCATATTCAAGGACATGCCCAACGGGAAACTTTCTGCACTAGTAAGAGCTCTATCCTGCTTGTTCTTCCCTTTAAAGTCTTAGTGAGATTTTCCTCTCTTTTGGAGAAGGCAGATCTGTGCATCTGTCTGTCCGTCTGCCTGCGTATTCATCTATCACAGGGGACTCTGGGCAGTACACAAACGTTAAAAATGACAAGCAAGGAGGGTTGAAATACAAGCCTCCAAACTTAATAAAAAGGTAGCCCATTCAGCGTAAAAAGAAATAAAGGCAGGGATAGGTGAACGAGAAATTTAAGGGTAGATGGTAAGAGTGAGGTCACCTTCATTAATATTCAGAAATGTTAAATATTATGCCTTGGATCTCCAGAAACAGTACTCATTCTAAGTTAGAAAAGTAGAATTTTTTTAAAAGAGAAATTACTCTTGGACTCATTAAGAAGTCGCGGCTGGGGGTGTTTTTGCTGGGGGAGGGGAGGGGAGTAGTAGAGTAGAGCAGAATAAAGATTGGGAGAAGAAAAAAGACTTTTCCTTAAATTTTCTAAATTAGATAAAAATAGTTGGATTTCTCTAGCTTAAGTGGAAAATGGTTAAGGTAACTATTTTAATGCAATCCCCGATTCACACTAAGCCCTGATTCAGAATTTAAATTCTGGCTTCTAGCCTACTTACTTCAAAGTTACTGAAATCAGCAACACTGATTAAATATTGCATTTAGATGTTTTTATTGCATCACTGAGCTCTGCAGAATGTGTGGCTTGCTAATTCACAAGGGTGATCTTACTCCTTGATAATGCTCCTGTATGTCATCAGCCAGAAGTGAGAACTTTTCAATACAGTAATATCTCTTGCCTGCAAACTGGCTACAACCTCATTCCAAAAGGAAAATATATTCTACTGAAAACAGGAGATAAACAATGGCAGCAGCAGTGAAATAACTCCACAGAACCCTTTTTAGTGACAGATGACAGAGTGGTTCTCCAGCTGCAAGACACCTTCAGATATTAGTTACTTGTGGTAATCTTTTCTATCAGCAGCAATCTACAAAATCATTCTGATAATCTGGCAAGGAAGCACTTAATGGAAGCAGGAGGACCAGTTTTATTATGTTTTATCCTACAAATCACAGAGACAAGAATGAGCTAATTGTAGAGTTATCTGGGCCAAAGGATATGAATCAAAACTATGCAGCTGGGGAATAGTTAACCACAATGTTTCATTTTACTCTTCCTATCCTACCCTAGAGAAGGGTAGTAATACTTTTTTTCTTGCATAATTTATAGTTGGGAGCATAATAAGCGGTCTTTGTATAACGAATCCTTTGCATTCCCTTCAACTCATCCCTTCTTATCTGTGCTTTCCCATTCCTCTTCTATGTTTTATCTATGACAGGTGCTTTGGCAGGCCTTCCCTACTTTCATTTCAGTTGTTCATTTATTGGTTTTAAAATATTCTGCTAGTGGATGGCAGCCTGTAAATTAACAAATAATGCTATACTTTCCAGACTAGCTGTGCTGAGCGTACACTAAATAAAAAGCTAGAGGAACCCAATTCCACATCACCATATCCCAGAGGTTTTTGGTTGGGGATTTTAAAATGAACAGACTATATTTGGGGATTTCTAAAACTACCTATCTGTTGGGACTTTGCTTTGCTTGTAAACAGGTGACTATTACAAATGCTTACTATGGGGGCCTTGCAGACAATTAATTGCTGACATATCCTTTCCTCCCACTATTACTGCTACTTCTTTTTGGAAGAAGAGTTTTCATTTCACTGCTTACAGACACTTGCATGAGAAAATGCAAGAATCTGTCAAGCAAGATATTTTCCAAAAGAAAGTATCTTCTCTATGGCAGATCATAACTCTCCACTCATAAATTATTTTACAAACTGACCCACTTCCATTCTCTAAATCTCCTTCACTCCAGGAAGAAAAGAATTGAAGGTATCCTTTTTGAGGTCTTGATTGGTAGAAAAATCAGTTGTCTATTGTAAAATATGGAGCTTGGGACTAGAGACCACGAGAAAGAGTCATTGAGGTCCACACTGTAAGGTCTCTTCTTGACTTAATCAACAGAGTATATATTTCCCATCACAACTGCTGTCAAAAATGTCAATTATTTTACCAAGCTTTCCGTCCTTCACAAGTTTCCAATTGTAGTTTTTGCAGTGAGGGAATTGTAAAAATATTTAGAAGTGGGCTTGTTTTCATGAACAAAAAAAAAGTTTGACTTATTTTTTATCAAGAAAGCTGCAGCATACGTTCAAATGTAATTCCCACTACAGAGTTGTCAGATTCCTCATATTGCTTTGAGGCATCTCCAGCACTGTTTGATATCATAACAAAACCTTCTTTTTTGTTATTGTTAAATACAAAGAATATAACTCTCTTGTTTCCTCAACAATAAATAGCAATGCCTTTATCCAAAGGATTCAGGTTTTCATTGTACTTATCATTCCACCTGCACAGCTGACAAAAACAGTTCTTGTTTACAATATATTTTCAGCACACATCCCTGAAGCCTGAGTTCTCTTGGCCATGTTGGACATCAGCTATCTAATTACTGATTAACATGGCCTTTGGGAATTATGGCAACTGGGACAGTCCAGAACAGGTCTGTCAAAATCATGGCCTGCAGGCCAGATGCGTCACGCACTGGCCATGCCCACGCCCGGTTTAGCAAAGTGGGGGGAAAGCCACGATACATCACATGATGACACCGTGACGATGTGAGCTTGACATCCCTGGTCCAGAACATGTAAAGAATTCTGGGCTAAAGAACAGCTAACATTTTTCTTCTAATGATCTGTCACAGGAGCCCCTAAGATGACTGTGCTGGCTAACCTGCTTCTGCAAATCAGGGAAACAGCACACTACATTAGGAACTAAATATATCCTTTCATTCTGAATAGCATACTTCTTCTTGACCTTTATGTCTAAGTGTTTTTCTACCTTGGTGTAATTACTGAGGTTCCTCAGAAGACTACTAGGTTTATGCAAAGTCTGTAATCTTGGTTGTAATAAGTATCATTTTATATTGTTGTAAATACACATGGATAGCTTGGAAAGAGATAGCAACTGCTTAACTGCAGCATTTAAATGAATCATTTTGATTATCTCTGTCAGCACAGTATCCATTTCTTAAAAGAGGAAGCCATCATTAGAAGAAAATTGCCCAGGTAATTTAACAACTGCAGAGCTAGTGTTCTGCTTTTGTCATTTAAACATTTAAAATGCTGGCAAATGTCAAATCTCTATCCAGTGAGTCTATAATATAGAGGTCTGCAATTTTGCTCTGCTTTTTTTCCAAAGTAGACAACTGGGACATTCTCTTTTAAACAGAATGTCATTTTAAACTTCAGGCTGAAATCAAAATATCCAGTGGTCTTCTCATTAAATACTGTATTTAAACAAACTTAAAAATTAGAGAGGGGGGAACCTCCTATTTTGTAATAGGAAATAAAGTTCTAAATCATTTTTCCCAGTACAAATAAGTCAAAAGTGGAGGACATTAACCCTTCAGAAATTGCAGAAATGGTGCAAATTCCAAGGGGACAAATAAGCATATTGAGAAATACGTTAATCATCAAATGAAAAAAAATTTTTTTATCAAGAGAGCCTGTGTCCAGGCCAGGGTATGTTGGATTCCAGTAAAGGACTATATGGAAACTACCTAGTCTTGCAGTTGAACCTCATTTTAGCCTTGATTATGGGACCACACCCTTTATTGCAACCTGGGGATGGAGGTTAATTTAGGAGTATGCAGAAATGTCCAGTTTTATCTTTTAGTAATTGGCAACTTCTTAGTATCTGTTGCCTTAGGCAGACATTTCATTCTGCTGGGCAGCTCAGAAACCATATAAACCTCTGTCATACAATTTCAAAATCCCCATAAGTTACAGGTGAAAATCAAAAAATTAGAATATCGTGCAAAAGTTCATTTATTTCAGTAATGCAACTTAAAAGGTGAAACTAATATATGAGATAGACTCATTACATGCAAAGTAAGATAGTTCAAGCTGTGATTTGTCATACCGTATTTCCCCATGTATAAGCCACCCCTTTTTTCCAAAATTTTCAAGCCCAAAAAGTAGGGGGGTGGCATATACAAAGCAGGTACACTTTTTATACGTGAAAAATGCATAAAATAATAAAGTAGGAATAAACTGGTTTTCCAGCAGTATGCTATACTTTTTTGTAAAAATTGTACGTGATGATACGATTACGAGTGCGAGTACGCGATAGAAATGCATACGCTAGGCATCGGCCTGAATGCTTCGTTCCTACTCTCGTTCCGATGCGTAGATTGCTAGCGTCGCCCGCACCGCTTTCGGCGTCATGACCGAAGTTGTAGATCTAGACGTCAAATTTTGTTTCTTTGTAAATTTTCTTTCTTCATAACTTGTTTCTCTAATAAAATATTTTTTTCAAAACTTCACAGTCCAAAAATTGGGGGGGGTGGCTTATACAAAGGGGGTGCTTATACATGGGGAAATACGGTAATTGTGAGGATTATGGCTTACAGCTCATGAAAACCCCAAATCCACAATCTCAGAAAATTAGAATATTGTGAAAAGGTTCAATATTCTAGGCTCAAAGTGTCCCACTCTAATCAGCTAATTAAGCCATAACAGCTGCAAAGGTTCCTGAGTCTTTAAATGGTCTCCCAGTCTGGTTCAGTAGGAATCACAATCATGGGAAAGACTGCTGATCTGACAGTTGTGCAGAAAACCATCCTTGATACCCTCCATAAGGAGAGAAAGCCTCAAAAGGTAATTACAAAAGAAGTTGGATATTCCCAAAGTGCTGTATCAAAGCACATTAATAGAAAGTTATGGGGAAGAGAAAAGTGTGGAAGAAAAAGGTGCACAAGCAGCAGGGATGACCGCAGCCTGGAGAGGAGTGTCAGGAAAAGGCCATTCAAAAGTGTTGGGGACTTTCACAAGGAGTGGACTGAGGCTGGAGTCAGTGCATCAAGAGCCACCACACATAGACAGATCCTGGACATGAGCTTCAAATGTCGCATTCCTCTTGACAAGCCGCTCCAGAACAACAAACAACGTCAGAAACGTCTTACATGGCTAAAGAAAAACAGAAGTGGTCTGTTGCTCAGTGGTCCAAAGTTCTCTTTTCTGATGAGAGCAACTTTTGCATCTCATTTGAAAACCAAGAACCCAGAGTCTGGAGGAAGAATGGAGAGGCACAAACCGCAAGATGCTTGAAGTCCAATGTGAAGTTTCCACAGTCTGTATTGATTTGGGGAGCCATGTCATCTGCTGGTGTTGGTCCACTGTGCTTCATTAAGTCCAGGGTCAACACAGCTGTCCACCAGGAGATTTTGGAGCACTTCATGCTTCCTTCCGCAGATGAGCTTTATGGGGATGCTGACTTCATTTTTCAGCAGGACTTGGCACCTGCCCACATTGCCAAAAGCACCAAAACCTAGTTCAATGACCATGAGATTACTATGCTTGATTGGCCAGCAAACTCACCTGACCTGAACCCCATAGAGAATCTATGGGGCATTGCCAAGAGAAAGATGAGAGACATGAGACCGAACAATGCAGAAGATCTGAAGGCCGCTATTGAAGCATCCTGGTCTTTCATAGCACCTCAGCAGTGCCACAAGCTGATAGCTTCCTTGCCACGCCGCATTGAAGCAGTAATTGCTGCAAAAGGGGCCCAAACCAAGTACTGAGTGCATGCTTATACTTTTCAGACTTCCGATATTGTTCTATGTACAATCCTTGCTTTATTGATTGCATGTAATATTCTAATTTTCTGAGATTGTGGATTTGGGGTTTTCATGAGCTGTAAGCCATAATCATCTCAATTATGACAAATCACAGCTTGAACTATCCTTTGCATGTAATGAGTCTATCTCATATATTAGTTTCATCTTTTAAGTTGCATTACTGAAATAAATGAACTTTTGCACGATATTCTAATTTTTTGAGTTTCACCTGTATGCTCTCCAAACCCTTCTGACAAAACGTTGAACAACAGAAGAGTGATTTCCAAACAAATTTCAATGGAAAGCAAATATAAAGGACATATATACCATCAGAACAGCCAATAATAATTTTTAAAAGCAAACACAAACAAACCCATGCATGATTGAAAATCCTAGCTCATTCACTCATGTAACGTTGTTGCATGATTACATCCCCCTTTGCAGTCAATCACTGCCTAATTTTGTTTTGCAGAGTGCTTTCTTGCTTCTAAAAAGTTGCCTGTAAAAAAAACTTAATGCTAGGGACAGTTCCTAGATCAGGGGTGTCAAACTCAATTTCACTGAGGGCCGCATCAGGGTTGTGTTTGACCTCGAGGGTCCAGATGGGCATGCCTGGGGTGGGCGTGACCAGGGTGGGTGTGGGGGCACCTGTGGTGGCCTGGGCAGGGCTGGGAGAATCCTCCTGCAGCCACCCGCCAGCAAAAACAGATCCCAGGAGTTACTTTTTCAGCCACGACAGCCTCCTGCAGCCTTCTGCCAAAGAAAATGGAGCCCGGGAGGGCCACATGTGGCCCTTCCAAGCTCCATTTTCACTTGCAGAGGCACCATGGGCCAGCCTTTCACTATTTTCAGGGTGGCCCCGTGGGCCAGATGGAAGCACCCCACAGGCTGGATCCGCCCCATGGGCCTTGAGTTTGACATCCCTGTCTTAGATAGACAGACAAATAAATCACTCTTTTTAAAACCCCAGCCAATTAAATGGCATTGCAACTGAGACAAATTATTTATGAACCACCACTTTGGATAACAATTGTTTTGCATACCACAGGACCAGGTCTTCCAGTAAGTCCCATTGGACCAGGGGGACCTCTCATTGCAATCTGTAATGAACAAAAATAAATATTTAACTTGCTAAACTACTCATAACTTCCAACAAATAGGACAGTTGTCATTGATAATTAACTATTATGTAAACATTGTTTAGCCTTACTACATTTTATAAGGAAAGATCGCAATGCATCATGACTCTGGCATGATACAGATAAAATGCCAAAATCTTGGATTCTACAAAAAACAGGAGGCAATGTCCCTTATGGAAAACTGAGTAAGATAAACACACCTATTATCTAATCCCTCTTCTCAAGAAGTCAGGAAAAAGGGTGAATTTTTCTCCACCAAACCTTCACAGAACCTGTTAAAGATGTCTAGTTTGATCATATGGCCATGGAAGAAAGTATTTGAAAAGTGCTGATATCTGTTCCTGAAAAAGACCCCCCCCACACACACAATAAAAAAGAAAGCATGTGCAGAACATTTTCTGCAAATAGTACTCAATACATTTATGCTTGTTTTTGTTACCTGTAGGTAATAAAGGAGACGACTTGACTGAGATATGCAAGTGCTATTATCTAGGCTAAAGGGGCTAAAGCAGCTTTTAAATCTAGAGTGTTCAATTAACACATGGAAGTGATTCTTTCAGACACCTGAACCTGAATTCACTGAACTATAAGAACGAGAAACAGCACAACCAGACTTTCAAAATGAGTTATGACAGTAATGAAGCCTGCTCATCACTGTCATAATGCAGGACTGTCATAAATTAGATCACTCATGTGACCAAACAGATTTTACAATCTTTTTTGTGGTGGATAAGAGAACACTGCAGTTTTAAGGGAAGTATGGGCTGGTTTTGCCAAAAACTGGAATTAAAGGGTGGCCATTATAAAACATGGCCACAGGGCCACAGGATGCTGTAAACAGCTGTAAATGTGGTCCAATTGCCAAGTACCTGAAGTATAGCCAGATGACTGTGGCAGGGAAGGCTGACTGAGATAATTTTGAATCTAAGTGCCCCCATCGTTAAGTCTATTGTAATTTTGAATGGCTGCCAAGCTACCAGTCATAAGTCAAGGACTACCTGTGTCAAATCAGGAGATTCAGGCAGTTAAAATGAGAATAAAGGTTTATTGAAAGTTTAAGCTCTCTACAAGTATCTGACCAATTAGCAGTCAAGGAAAATGCATGGGAGATAAGAGAGGCATTCAAGGTGGGCTGGACTTAAATCTCTTGCAGGTGCGCTGGAACTTATGACTTATGACGAGTTTGACCCCTCCCTCAGGCTGACCCTGGTCATCTCCTAGAACCTGTACTATAGCCAATGTTTGCAGAATTGGTCCTTGTCTGGATTATCTAATAGGGCTGACATTTTCCCACCCTACGGCAGGAGCAGGAAAGGCCGTAGAGTAGGCCTCAGTGCAGTTTCCACATCTAATCACTTCCATTGTAGCTCTACTCATTTTCAGTTCTGGTTTCACTCATGTCAGAAGGCAGATCACAGCATGTTTTGAACAATGAGAAACAAAGCCCTCGAAAAGGGGTGGGTGGAAGGGATAAGGTGTTCCAGCTTTGCTTTGGTCTGCACCCCAACTTACCCTGGCCTGCTGAAGAATAGCTTGAGCTTGAGCCTCCTGAGGTGAGATCGCTGGGCCCTTCTCACCACCCCCACTAAAGCGGAACTGTACAGAAAAAAATCAAAATGAAAAGTTCAGAATTAACCTCTATTCATGTATCTCTATTCATTAATGAAATATTTTTCATTAAAATCTTTAAGAACATTTTTTTGATATCATAGTGTTTTATATAGATGTTTTTTAGGTTGTATATTTATCACAAATTTTATTTTTTTTATTTTTAAAAAATTAATCATTACTGCTGGTGGCAAATGGATCGCTCATTCAGAATGGGTTAACCTTAAATAAACTAACTGATACAAAATATTTGTTCATTACTACATTTATATACTGCCCAACTCACTGTTTTGAGAAAATTTGAATTAGATCATTTTAATATGGCATCTTTCCAAGCTCTAAAGCTTTCCATGCTTTTGATGACAATGAATGAG